AAATGAGGTTAAGAACACATATACAGATAATGGAAAGGGGAAAACACAGATAACACAAAGAAAGAGTACAGGCGAGAGAGAGAGAGAGAGAGAGAGAGAGAGAGAGAGAGAAAGCAGCTAGAGTGAAATTGAAAAGAATTCAAGGAAAAATAGAAGGAACTAGAGTGATGGAGCAGGATGGAGAACATGGGGTGGGTAGAATGAAGGGGTATTGATAGTGAAGGGGAAGAGGGAGAAACAGAGACAGAGAAAAGGGGAGAGCGGAGAAGACAAAGAGAGAGAGAGAGAGAGAGAGAGAGAGAGAGAATGAGCACATCTATTTCTAAAGCAATTATGAATTCCCTATGATTTCCCTTTTTTGTTATAAGAGGTCAATGGGGAAGGGCTGGGTAGAGAAACATAAGGCTTATATCACATGTAAAATTGTAAACACTTCTGCTATCATCACTAACCCTCTTATATTTTCTTGCTGTTTTCATGAACATTTTCAGAAACCAAACACGTCAGAGCATTGTTTTTCCATAAAATCTTCCCTTGTAGTGCGCTAGTATCCTGCTGGGACACATTGATCAACACACTCTGAAATACACTACATGCTGCTATTGCACAAGCCAGAATAAACACTCCAATCTATTTGCTTCCCATATCTTCCTGTACGTCACAATTCTGCGATTTCAATCACATCAGATATTTCATAAACAATTTTATAGAGACGCACTAGTTCTTTTTGTGAGAGCTACAGGGTCAACTGACCTCAGTAAATTACAGTCCTGGTATATTTCTCTTCTGACTGCTGTGACTTTTATGCAAGTATTTTCCCTGGTTATATTGCAGGGTATTGACATGGTATCTTCATTTAAGTGGCGTTTTACATGGCATTTGTTCCTCTGGACATCTACCCACTTTAAAAAGTTGAATGCGGATTCATTACAGATGCCTTAGCAGAAAAAACGAGCAGAATCTGTACAGCAAACTTCTGGAATGATACATACTTCATACAGGCATTCAGTGTTTGGAAGCAAAAGATTTAATATGCTAGGCTAGAAGTCCTTAAAACATTAAACAGATAAGCTACGTAAGTGCCCTTGATACCCTTTCGGACCAGTGATTGACTTCATAAGCCTTCATAAGCCAGGAATTGGTCTGTAAAAAACCATTACACTAATGACCAGATTCAGAGGATTCTTTTTTAAAGGCAGGCTTATTCCTACATTTGACATGTTGAAGATAATGTTGCATATGACTGGAAGATCCTGGAGGGGCCTCCCCCCCCCCCCCCCTCCAATTAAAGTTTTTCTCTTCACATTCAATTTATATGGATTTAATTCTGCAACTAAAGTGATGATAAAAATGGCAAGACCTCACTAGCAACCAAATCTACAAGATCTCTTCTATACAATGACTGATGTTGCCCCCCCCCCCCCTTTGTATCATGACCTATGTGTGTATGTGGGTCATGAATTTACTTTAAAGCAGAACATATTTTCATATTTTTTTATGCCCCCGTTTCTTTTAAATTGCCTCGCTATCAGTTAACTGTTTATATCCAGTCACAACTACACATGATACAAAATCTGCATCACCTCAAAGAGCCAACTTTTTCATTATTAGGTTGTTTGGAGTTGGTTTGGTGGTGTGACAGAGGAGTTTGTGTGTAGGTCTACATGCACATGTAGTCAATACATGAAAGCCATAGAGTTCTGACTGTAAACAATACAGTAGTCCAACCCCTACAGTTATATAGATGACCAGCACAAGTATCGGTGCAGTACTTGAGTCTGGTATTACATACAGTAGGCCTATATGATAGCTTGTCAATCATGTCAACAACTGCATTGAGATACACGTACTGCATGAAATGGTTGCTAACAACCAAATACTTAGAGAGGAAAGCAAAAAAAAAAAAAAAAAAAAATTGGTGCACACACTAAACACAATAATAAAGCCTGCCTGAATCAACCAAAAAACAAATGTTTATTATCCCTTGCACTGCATGCGACCTACATTTCATTGTAATACTTTGTACACAAAAATGGAAATCAGAACACTGGACATATTTTGACCTTACACAAAAGAAACCAAAACACAAATAGGACTAGAGTAGAGTGCTCAATGTAAGAAATAGACATTATAATGCCTCCATGGATCAATGGAATTCTTAGGCTCTAAGCCCTTTGCCTCTTCTGTGATCTTATTGAGTCTCAATTCTTTTCTGTTTACATAGAAATGTTGATTTACTTAACACACAAAAACCTATACAGGTACAGAGTTGCTATTCACAAAAGATGAATTATACTGATGGGTGTGGCACTTGAGCACAATCACTGCATACAAACTGTAAATAGCAATAGGGTGTAACCCGATCTTATTTTCAACTTGAAAGACACTTACATGAATAAAGCCCCAAATATTCATTAATCCCCCCCCCCCCCCCCCCTATCAATTACAAATAGTGGCAAAAGTAAGCCTGCGTTTCAACAACAGATTCTACAAAACAATGTTGGTATTTGCTTACAAGCTTGGACAACAACTGTATAACTGTTAAGGCTAATATTGTTGCAACCAAGCAAGAAATGCTAGTAAAAGAACTGTGAAGCCCAAATCTCAGAAGATTTCAAAGGAATGTGAAACCTGCAACAATATAAATTGACCTTACATGACCTTTGAATAACCTCATGGACCTCACTACAACTATATCTTCTATTAGATGTGTGTCAAACTTGTGAAATATTAGTGACAGTTATGTGATGACACACAAGATTCTCAAGACCCTACTGTTCCCAAGCTCATCTGGGCCCTGTTTCATAAAACTTTGTATCAATGACAAGTTACAATAACTGTTATAAGCTACTGAAATCGTGGCATTTGATTGGCTCAGAGCAAATTTGTCATAGAAATTTAGCATTTGTCATTGATAACAAGTTTTATGAAACAGGGCCCAGATCTTTTTTGGCTTATTCTGTGGATAGGGAAGTGGTCCAAAGACCTGAAGGTCTCCAGTTTGAATCCAAGCCAATGCACTAGTACCCAGTGACAAGAACAAAACATTACCATCATGCCCATAGACATTCAGCTCGCCTCGTCGAATTTTCCCTATTATCAAGTCCTTAGGATCTATGGACTGCAAGCCATTTACATGTATGTAGGTTCCCTGTATGCTAAACTATTGTTTTAAGGACTTCATCCTGGCTCTTTCCTTACATGTCATGACCACTCATATGCTTTTCACACTGGTAAAATTTTGCTTAGCCCCGGACTACAGGTGGGGCTAAAGGGGGTCTAGTCCTGGGCTAAGCTAAGTAAGCTTAGCCCACTTTCTGTTCTGAAATGAATTTACCAAAGTGTAACTCTGCAATTTCAGGGCCAAGCAAATGAATGAGACCCAAATGATGTAAAACATGAGGGGTTCCATTTCGATTCTCATGCTTTCTACTTTACCAGACACTCTATCTCAGTGCATTATACATGTACATGTTCTGTATGATCAAAACACTGTGGCAGTGTGAATTAAGCTTACCAAAGCCAATATTACTAAAAATAACAATTGATATGCATCCTAGAAAACCACAGACACACCTTTGCATATTATACAGGTTTTTCATTTCATTCTATATAGTCCCATTTCGAACAATGCTCTGGGGCCAAACAGCATAGCAGCTATTTGTAGTCTCAGCAAATCCAGCAATTCTGTCCAACATAAAATGTTGGGCAATTTGCACAAGGAGTGCTTGTCACAATCAAACAGAATGAGAGGTATTTAAAATTTATCTTTAAATTCAAATTCTCACATCTCAGTAATAATCATAAAAAGTATAAAGGGCATACATGTAGATACTACTCCATGCTTCATGTAGTGATGTTGTGCTTCGTATACCATTCCATTCATTACAATGCAAGTAAAACCTCAAATTCAAAAACTTGATTGTTCATGTCAATAAAGTACATGACAATTAGAAATAGTCCATTATTTAATTTGTCCTCATGTGTTTTCTGTAATTCTGAATTCAGCACTATAGCCTGAACCCCAAGACTACTGTGCATCAATACCATTCAGACTCAATGCATTTTGCCCCTTTGCCACGAGTTAGTCATCATTGCTCACAAAAGCTTTGTACAAGCAAAGAAAATGTAGGGAAAATGTAGGGGGCCAGAATGCAGCACTGTTAAATTGTTATTTTCGTTAGACGCTAAATTCCAGCATAAATGTATGAGCCCGTGTTATCATTAAAACTTAGCTGAATGGCTTCAGGGATCAATCCAAATAGCTCAACCTTGGAAGCATTTTGATGCTTGAAACTTCAAGTACATTGGAAGTGAGTGGGCCAGCTTGGCAATGGATGGATGGAGGTTGAACATTTTTGTATTCATGATATGAACTTTGTAACGGCTCCTATTCAATAGCTCTGTTGTTATGGAATAAAGTTGCTGTAGGCATGAATCACAGGAAGGTTTATTTGTCCTGTTGTGGTTTAACTTCAGGGGCTATTTGTTTCGCTTCAACGGTCTGAAATTGCACATGAACTGACGATTGAACAAATTCAACGAGGCTGCATTGATACAGGCAAAAAGGGAAAGATCTAGAGGAAAAATAAAAACAAACAAATAAACCATAAAGAACACAACCAACACCTTACCGGTAGTAGATTGTTGAATCAGCATCATTTGTTTGTTGTTACAAGAAACAGGAAATTTCTATCGTTTAAGGACATCCCCTTGGTATGAATGCACCCTATTACATAAACCGAGTTCATTTTATTGCATCCAAAAAGTCAGGATTCAGGGTGAAAGTTGTGCATTCCAATTCAATCCAGGAATTTGTAGAGCGCTAATATCTAGTTGCCTAATCAAAGGCGCTGATGAAACTGAGAAAAACTACTGCATAATATACATGTATATATGACATTCACGAATCACCTGGGAAAGACTGGGGTGGGGTCGTGGCTACTTGCATCTCTACATAAGGTAAATGAAAATCAAATATTCTTCTTGCTTGAACTTACCTCCTCCTTGCATCATTTTGTAGAACTTGCTCTCTATGTGGAGCTGCGGATGTTTTGTTTTTAAACATTCTAATTTGATGGCGACCTCCTCCCCGTTTGTAATATTCGTACCTGCAAAGACAAATTAGGAAGAAGAAAAAAATCATTAGTGAGGTGAAAGATGTGTGTACTTTGTTTGGGTTAAGCCTCGGTCACAAATGCCATTACGAACTGCTACAAGCGATGTATGAACGATTTTCAGACAATGGAGATTCGTACAAAATTATCGTTCGTACAAACCTTTGAGACCGTAGCATAACATGCCAAACGAGAAACAATGTGTCAATTTTTGTTAATTTTCTGTTTACGAAAGCAAAACATCGACAAACTGTGTTTGGACAGTTTAACTGTCCAAATAAATCTTTAATAAATAGAAAATTCAAACACTGTAAGGTAGGGTAGATGTTGTTTTTCACCATCCCAAATTAAGCATCACTAGTACAAAATGACACGAATCACTAAAAGTAAAAAATAAACAAATTTTTAAAAAGAGAGGAATTTGGGCTATAACAGTTTCTGTAAATGAAATAATATTCACTAGCTTCTTTTTGTTGATGAAAGAATGTGTTGCGAAATACTTGTTATCTAAAATTCTGGTGTTTACACAAGCCATTGTCTATTTTAAGAATGGAGTCCTCAAAAGCAAAACACACTTGTGCAGACATGATATCTCTGAGCCCACGAAAACAAACATGTATAGGGCTAATGATGCGAATAGCTAATTGCACATGTGTTGAAAACATACTGGACCTCACAGAGCAATAATTAAAAAATTTGTAAAGGCTCGTTAATGTTAAAAAGTGTTCATAAACATCAGAAAGATGAAGCAACTGGAAAAGTAAGAAGAATGAGAAGAATGAGAGAGATGAGACTAGTTTATTGATCAAGAAATTAGTACAATACAATTAAAGTACCCGGTAGTTGCATTGTAAATGGGCAATACATAATGAAGAGAGGGTGTAGAAAAACGGCCAGTAGTGGAAGAATAAGGACAGAGAGAGAGAGGGAGAGAGAGAGAGAGAGAGAAAATAAACTGTACTTGTAAGCCAAAATGTGAATGTATTATCATTTTTGATGGCTGATCTATTACAGGAATGAGACAGTCCGGATCGCACTCCAGCCGGAAAAGTAATCAGTTTTCTTTTCACTTAACCCGCTATCAACATGAAAAAGAAGGCTAGGCCTTGGCTTGCCTTGGGCTTGGCTTCCAAACTATAGTGCAATTTGGGGTTGGTTCAGTACGCGGCGGGTACAGCAAAGGCACAATGTGCTTATACATGTACTTGTGTGCATGTTCAATGCGCAGCTGTTAAAATGTCTTGACCAACCTTTCTTCTTCTTTTTTCCAATATCATTGACAGAATGTTTTTAATCTTGGCAGTCATAAATTATGTCCAATGCCAAATGTGGTGTCATTAATTGGTGCACTGTTTGGCTGTCCCGATGAAATGCCCTCTACGTTTAAAATAGGCCTGAGTCATGTCGGGATTTTCATAAACCGGGTCCCGACGGCCTCGCACCGGTCGGGACCCGGTGTCCCGAAATCAGCTCGCAGGATTTGTCACTTGCCTCTATAAAAAGCGCATATCATCAGTATGTCCCTTAAAAGTGACATTTTTATCAGTCAAATAAATCAACACATGCATACCTCGGCACAGATTGGTATATTCTTCCATTTGACATTATATTCATCCATGATTGGCGATGTTTAGTGCCATTATCGTGCCTCTAAAAGTAAAAAAACTCGAGCAAAAATATAAAGACTACAATCGAGCCGCCATTTTGATTTATGCAGGTTGAATAAATCTGGTCAAAAAATATGAATGTTAGAATAATAAAACGGCTTTCTAAAAAATTCTTCTGTACAATATACCGATCATATAATATTTTAAAGACAAAAATAAATATTTATCTCTTATTTTAAACATCGCATGCTTTTTTTTAAAAGCTGAAAATTACTTGGTAATCCCAAAAAGTTTCGATACGAATAGCTGTTGCAAGGCAAGTTCAGACTAGTCTCGGAAAAATGCGCAGTGCTCCTCGTTATCTGTAATGCGTGCCAGAACGAACCCAAACAAAGACGTGATCGTAACGAGAAAAAAATCATTAAAAACTACGAGAGCACAATTGGAAAGATATACTGCTCAAAATTACCATAATCAGATACATAACTTGGACAAAGAATTCAATAATCGCCCAAGAAATGCCACAGAAATTGTGATAATCGAGGAGTAACTGGGTACATTTTTATCGCAAGGGGCCTGCTGCAAATACTCGAATCCTTTGTTATACTGCTTTTTACCGTAGAGGGCGGTATTTGCCTCGTGTTCAATTTAAACACGTTTAGATATATTGCAGCAGGCCCTTCCGATAATGATTGTACCTATAGTAACTCATTAAATATCACTATTTATGTGGCTTTTCTTGGACAACTATGGTATTCTTCCTCCAAGTTATGTATCTGCTTACGATAATTTTGAGTAGTTGTCTTTCCAATTGTGCTCTCGTAGTTTTTAATGATTTTTTTCTCGTTACGATCACGTCTTTGTTTGGGTTCGTTCTGGCACGCATTATAGCTAACAAGGAGCACTGCGCATTTTTCCGAGACTAGTCTGAACTTGCATTGCAACAGCTATCCGTATCGAAACTTCTTGTGATTACCAAGTCATTTTCAGCTTTTAAAAGAAGCATGCGGTGTTCAAAATCAAAGAAAAAATATATATTTTGTCTTTTAAAAATTATTCGATCGGTATGTTGTAAAGAAGTACTTTTTAGAAAGTCGTTTTATTATTCAAACATTAATGTTTCTTGTAACCTGATTTATTAATTCTGCCGAGAGACCTGGCCAGTACAGTAGCTAGCTAGCAGCTGGCAACAACAACCCCATGGGGCGAACTGCTTTGCAACCCATATTTATATCAGCAGTTCGGATTGATTCTGGATGAGCTAGAATACGATTGGTAACAATTAAATACTCCAGTTTTAGGGTGGATTGATTTTAGTGGTGTGCAAAACTGCAATTTCTTACATATTTCATTATTTTTTTCGGAGCGCCGGTTCTCAAAAAACGAAACCGGGACCCGACGGCAACGGTCGGGTCCCGGTGTGATCGACCGTACCGACTCAAGCCTAGTTTAAAAGCTTCAGATAGACTGACAAAATACATGAATATGAATATCCTATGAAGAAAGAGATAGTAAAATTCATTTGTCTATAATGCACAAAATATTCAGTTCTTTAAAGTCATAAATTCTACATATTTCATTATTATAACTGTTTCATTCTATTTAGATAACGTAATCTAAGGAATAGAAACTTTCACATACTTAACCACTTAATTCATATTTACCAGTAAGATTTAAAAATCAATTTTAATGTAAAAGACTCTTGGAGGATATACTGTATTCATACCAGTAAATTTGTATGTGTACATGTGTAATTTACATGTACATAAATTCAAAAATACAATTTAATATGGGTATTTGTGAATTTCTATATTGTGGCCATTACTATTGCACCACATTGTATTGTCTTTGGTCTTTGGCCTATGTGTACAGTGTACAGGCCTATATTAAGTTAGGAACTGTACAAAACATATCATACATATACATGTAGTTAAAGTAAAAACAGTCAATGCAAACGAAACAATCAAGAATCAAGTCAAACAGTGACAAGAGGACAGTTACTTTTCTACCACACTTGAGTAATAAATCTACCACAAGAAACAAGACGTCTGTTGCACTGTACACTTTATTACATGTTCATGACCAAGTCAATATCTTTTCCTACAGCGAGCACCCTGCAGTACTGCGCACTCCTGATCAAAACACAGAACCTGGTTGGGCATGAATAAGCCGGTGATGTCATCTTGGTGCATGCATAACTACACTTATCAGCTCGCATAGAGCACTCACTGTGTGTCCCTCCCTACTGCCTGTATTGCCAAAGCATACATCCTTGTATGCACGCACACTATACAATACAGACGAGGACAATATGGGCGTGTGGTTCAATATGGGTGTGGGGATTGGGCAGGTCCTTTTGGTAAATCTACACTATCTGTTCAGATTGTGCAAGGAAGCAATAAATGTGTAGAATTCTGATTGTATTCAGTGCTCTTTGAATTTCCTTGAAAATTGATTATGTTTTGAATATATGCAATGGTAAAGTTTGTCAGAAATGCAAACAATACATGTTTTTCCAAGCAGGATTGCTATTAAATAATCTTTCACCTAATCAAAACTTCACGATTTAAGTAAAAACAAATTAATTGATACTACTCAAGTGAATACATTAGACAACGAAAATCTGACATTTTTTCTCCAAAAGCTTCTTAACAATTAAGGCATCAAACCACTACCCCCCCCCCCCCCCCCCAAAAAAGGAGAAAATACAGTTGCATGTTTTACATGTACAATAAAATTCTGTTTGTGCAAAAAATGTTTTTCATTCTTAATTTATTTCAAAGCTTTCTCCATCATGTAAACAAGAGAATTAATTAATCAATCATTACAAGTGCCAGACCGTAAAATGTAGTTAATACAGGGCTTCCTTAAATGAACTACTGTAAAATTAAAGTATACAGGAAATTACCTCAACACTGTGATGGCACTACTGAACATGTACATAAGAACGGGCGAAACAATGTTGTACTGGTTCAAATGAGTTACAGAAAAAGTGCAGATTGTATCTGACATATCACTACTTTCAGTTTGTAATGAAAACAATTTTTCCAAATCATAAAATCTTATCACTGATTCATACTACATGATGTAAGCCTACATAATACACTGTACATAATACAGTGTTGTTCAAAGTCATGCATGTAGTTAAATATGACTTTTTATGTGTAGTTGGTCTACAAGTACAACAAAGACAAAGACTTTTATTTAACTTAACTAAAAAAGTTAAGAGGGAAGTGTCTGTCCAGCAAGACAATTGTCTTTTTTTCTATTCCTTCTCCATTTTTGCTTTCCCTATAAATTTTTATTTTGTCAACAATTCAAGACTTTTTGACGAGATTAGAATCTTGTCTCTGATTTGTAACCAGTGTCTGTGGGTTCAGAAGCAATTTCATCCATGAATAATTCACAATTGAACCTGCTTTAACACTGAACATTTACCAAAGAGGGATAATCCTAAGCCTAAACCTAAACATGCAATTTTTAAAAATGTTGGATTCCATAGCAAACTAAATGAAAAATATTCTTTCCCTTTCACTTTTACGATCACTGTCCTCAATCATTATACTAAGTCATTATCACAAAACAAAGACAAGAATGTTTGCCACTTTTAAAAACACTTTCACCAGTTTTTCCATCAAAAAGAATCCCTAATTTCCTGAATTTCATAACAAAGGCTAACTCTTGCTGAGTTAAATACATGTCATATACATGTAGACCTGACATGACATGAATTCCTTCACGTACATGTACACGAGATCAGGCATGCACTTCCTGAAACAATAGCTTGTATTTCCCCAGACACACCAATGTCATGGTTGGGAATTTTTTTATAATAGATTGACAGAGTTTAGATCTTGTGACAATAAGCCTTAGGAACCTGTTCATTACACGACCCAATCTTAAGAATGGATTGCTCATCATGCTCGCAATGACAGTCAAACAGATGAAAACAATTTCACTTTTGTTATTGAAAAATTATGCGTGATGATGATGTACATGAACATAACCAAGTGTACTAAAGGCATTGCCTACATGTACATGCACCAACAAATATTCTAGTTGGCTTTGAACAAAACATAGGAACAGAATAATTCATATTCTGGTAAACTTTGAAAATCAGAATAAGCTGCCCCTCTATGGTTTCTTTTAATCTTCTCCTGTGCCCTAAATGTAATTTCCTCATTCATACCTATTTGCAAATGAACAATGGATCACTGCCCAATCAAAACATAATCTGACTGAGGAACATAGAGACCATGTAGGCCCACATTCTCTAACACATCAATGAATAGGCCTCCAACATGGAATGGCTTTCTTCACATAATGGGATTAACTGACACAAAACCACTTGATCCCTTTGGTAGGCAAGCTGTCATTACATTCTAAATGAGCTCCATGATGGGATTAACTGAGCGGATTAACCATAACCTTGTTGTACAGTAAGTAACCAGAGACTGTCTACCTGTAAATCCCTCTTTGTGAAATATAAAATGCATGGATTTGTAACTTCTATTTAAATGGAAATTGACACAAACAGATTGGAGAGGGAAACAAAAGAAGAGAAAGACAGGAGCAGCAATATTTCTCACAATGAGGCTGATTTGAAAGTGCTTCAATGTATACAATTAACATTTTGTCATGTAACCTACATGTACATGTACATATGTACTCCCCTATTACATAACAATAGCGCTATGTAAGAGAGACAGTGACTTGGCTGCATGATACACTAAACAACGGAAAAATACTCCCTGAAAACCTTTGATAAACTTTTTTGTATATATTCCTATTTCTCTATCTGCTGCCAAGTACGACTGTTACATTGCACATTTAATGCTGTAGTTACATCCATTTGAAGTTTAAAGAACCACAATTGAATTATCTAGGATAAATAACCCTCTAAACATTCAGTGGCAGGATGGTAGCATTTATTTCATGACGCTCGATTAGGATCAAAGTAAATTAAACACCACAGGTATTGTCTTATTGAATATTAAATCATAAATGATCAGAATGACTATTTCCTGCCTGATTGTACGCTCAACAGGCCATTCCTGATCCCACCATTTCGTCCTAATACCAAAGCTGCCAACCTTGTGCGACCCAAAAAAGGAAATCAAAAAGGGAACCATGATGGCAAAAAAAAGGAATTCATTAAAACAAAACTTACAACCATGCGCGACACACTTCCAAAACAGAAATTCCATACCTCATGCTGGTTTTTTCCATATTAGTACCTATAATTTATTTACAAATAGTACATGTATGTGTGGTATTTGAAGAAAAAAAATAACATTTAAAAAAAAAAATATTTTATGAAGAAAAAATGTAATTAGGAGGAAAAAAAGAAATAATTCAAAAAAAAACATAATGGTTGGCAGCTCTGCACATACTTAACACTTGTCAATAATAGCACGTTCAGAGTTCTGACTAAAGAAAATTAACATGAAACTCATATAAAGAAACGTCATAATAAGAATCATTGGATAGCAAATGGAGCGTACAGACTTGAAAACAGAGTGTAATAAAGAAACTAATTTTGAAGAGATCATCAATTGGCATGACAACTAGCCAATCATTGGTGCTCGCAATTACAATTTTGTAAGATACATTCCTTATTGAGCTTCGTTTGAGACGATGCTCAAACATGCATTTTGTTATACGACGTTGGCGAGTGTCAAAATAAGGTCTGTGACTGGAGACTATCGTTGTACCACCAAGTTCATTTCAACACCAACTCAGTAAGTACACACACACACACATAGTGCATGATTCATATCCAGCTCATAGACAATTTGCAAAGCAATAATGATCTTCCACATGAATTATCCTGAGACAAACAGACCCCATTAGGCATCTATGACTAATCTCCAAGTGCTGTGATTTTGTCCTGTAGGCAATGCTTATCACCATCGCAAACACTTTGGGGTGAGAATATTCACACTAAGAGAAGAACCCGGCCCTGTTGTACTACCCAAACAGAATAATTAATCTTGCAGTTTATTAATTCATTTGCAAACTTGGCTAATGTGACATAAAACATTAATATTAACTCAGAAATTACCAAACAATTTACATATTCTCTTTCCAGATCAGTAAAAATAGCATCATATGGAAATGAGCGATTCCACATTAATTCAGACTTTGTTCTGCTGGTATAGTTATCAGTATTCACATCAAAATATATCTGGTTGTAAAATGTTCACAGAGAAAAAATATCTTTTTTGAAGAGATTTGTATGAACATAGGAAATTTAAAGAAGCAATACAAATTTGAAATACATTTTATTATCGTGTTGTAAACGTTGCCATTGTTAAGCTTTCCTTCCTTCCTTCCTTTTTTTAGGGGGGGGGGGGGGTGGGGGTAGACAAAATGTTAACATTGATTTTAATTTTTCTTTAAAAAAAAAGATACATGCATGGTTAATACAGCCTAATTTCAAAGGCAAGTGAGTTGTTGTATCCTCAGAAAGAAAAAAAAAATATTGAGTATGGAGGAAGTCAGTTAACCAGGACAAAATCTAGATTTGTATTCAATTCATAAGAGAAATTAAGCTCCATTGATAAGGAAACCATGTTAGCTATGTAAATAGAATCAAGTTCAGCGTAGATGTAGTCTTGATTATGGGTAAACGCAAGGACCTGTGCCAGCAAACCAGTACTTACCAAGGTAGATGTCTCCAAACGAACCGCTGCCAATTTTGCGACCCAACCGGTACTTATTTCCAACTCTGAGCTCCATCCTTTTCAAAGTATAAAAAAAATAGAAAGAACATGGTTAGAATAATTAATAAGATACAAGAACATTTAAGAAGTATGCTGTAATCTTTCTTCTATTGTAGAGCTTGCCCTAAAATTGAAAGTGATACTGATAACAATAAGACTGTAACAATCAAGAAATGTTGCAGAGCGGTGATACAGCATTGGCAACATTTACTACATTGTGTACCTTCAGTGTCAAACAAATTTTATATGGACATTTGTTGGTCAGTCAACCTCAGAAACCAGTCGAAGATTTTTTTTAATTGTACTGTAATTAGAGGACTTTTAGTTTTAGCCTTTGAAAACAAAGTGCGTAGCTTGATATGGTACCTGGCCCCATCATACAGTTACACAGCACAGGCATCGTAAATGACTTGAAAACATAAACGCATACATTTTTTATTTAGATCCATGGCATTTGTTTGCACTACACTTTTGAACAAGTCAAATTACCAATATGAAAAACCAAGATAAGCAAAAGAATGTTTCCTAAAAACACTGAATTACCAGTATGGTCAGAGAATGAGGATCGTAAGCATAAACGAGGTGCGCTGGCGATGCAAAAAACGGATTCTGCGAAAGAAAATAGTCTAACCCCAGTTCACCGTCTTCTTTTATGGGGTGTCCGTCTTCACAAGGATTTATCGCTCATAACGTGAAAGTCAATATAAAATGCATCACCAGCGCACGGATTGGAAATATGAAACTTCTGGAAAATTTTTTGCAGACGATCCTTATTTTAGTGAATGCGTCTGCGTTTACAAAGACGATCCTCGTTTGTGTGGACGATCCTTATTCTTGGACCAGCGCCCCCTACTGATTAGCCTACAGGACTCTTTAGCATAGCCTATGAAAGCAAAGTGGGTAACTGGTTCCCCTCCCCTCCCCCCAATCACTTTTCACAGTAAAGTGATTGTTTATTTCCTCCCTCCCCCCCCCCCCCCCTCCCTTTTTTTTTTACTGTTTCAATTTAATTTCAACAACTTTTTATGAAAGACCTTGGTCTTGGCTCATATTTACCTAAGCATTCTAACATAGAAATGCACAGACACTACAGACAAAAATGTGAAACTCAATTCATTTTTAAGGATGACCACTCATTTTGTCATTTCAGTGAAATGAATTGACTGCTGCTGCTGTGCCTATGCTGATTCTGTGCTATGTCTATGCGGGTTAGACCTTAGCATAAACAGCTGGGCTAGCTAGCTACGTTGATCGTCGTCGCTACACAGGAAAGGAGACACAGCAACATAAACAACAAATTACAATCTCTTCTAAATATCGAAATCTTACCTTCACCTCTTTACGAATCACAAAAATATACAACTATGCACGTTTGACAAACATCTACGAATGTCATGAATTGCTCGTTTCTCTGATAACTATTCGGTGTAATAGGGGATGGTCCCGATTGCAAGAGGATTTTCAGCTTCGTCTAGACGACTTCGCCATCTTTTGCAGAATCCTAGTTGGCCGAAAACATGTAATGTTTCTAACTCGAGGTGGCGCTAAACCTCCAGTCTCGGAAATACATTACAAAGACAACGGGCCGTCTTTATCACTGTATACCATAGAGATATATCTCTATGCTGTATACTCTATCACTTGATGTCATATGTCCCGATTTATGTGGAGGGGATTACGTTTACAATTCAATTCAATTCAATTCAAACGTGGTTTTATTCAAGACTTGTCAAACAGTTCAAAGACTAAAAATGCAAGTTTACATCAAAACATACAATCATTTTTCTTTTTAAAGCATTCAAAAATATAAAGAAAACATAGGAAATGGGGAAAAAAATATAAAAATGAATAAATGTTTACATTAAAATAAGATTTTTAAAAAATACAAAAAAAATACAAGATATAAAATATTGGTAGCAAAAATGAATAAATGTTTACAACAGAACTGGTAGAAGACTGGTTTTTGGTATACTGTCTAAATTCCTCTGTTACTCTCTCCCTCGAATATACTAATCAGTACCTTCTTTTCTGTGCCACATTTAAACGAAGTTATTTTCCATAGGATCTATGCATGAAGCTTTGTCAAATAAATTTTTATAATCATTTTTATGATATATTTCACATTTCTTATAAATTAACCACAATTCTGTAGCTTGATTCTGCTCTCCCCCACGGATCTGAAATTCCAAGAAGATCTGTATAATAACAAATTTTGTTTTATAGTAACGTGATGATAGGCCTATATGAGAGACTTTTATGACGAATACGAACCCAAAAGTCAAGTTCCAGCAATTAGAAGTCTTCATGACTCTAACTTATATATATATTCGCCATTTACGTTCTCCCCTTATCCCTCAAGAATCATGTAGCATTTTGGCATGGTGATGAAGTAATTTTTCATAATCTGTATCCTGATAATGTTTTTTCTTAGTCCTAAAGGCAAATTTGCAGCAATTAAATGAAAGGCACTCATGCAGTCGATCATAGAAAAATGGAAAGTGTATCCCTGTACAAAAATTAATGTCTGAAGTCTGTATCTGTATCATCATTCGTCATTTCAAAGAAAATAAATAATGAGTAGAATGAAATTCCATATTTTCTTAATATAGAATACAAATATTTATGTTTAATATTTTTATATTATATATTTTTAATTTCTCCCCCCCCCCCCCCCAGTAGGCATTTCTAACTTAATCTGGATAAGAAGAAAATGCAGCATCTAATACCTATGAATTGGCCTATATCCAGTGGCGGATCCAGGGGGGGGGGGGGGCCCGGGGGGCCCGGGCCCCCCCCCCCCCTTGAGAAAAAAATCATGTAAAATCACGTGATTTTTACGATTTTTGGGGGTTGGGCCCCCCCCCCCCCCCTGGCGCTCAAGGGGGGGGGGGGGGGGGTGCAAATTGAATTTTTTTTTTTGAGGATCAAAAAAAGAAATGTGCTCACTACCCCCCCCCCCCCCCCCCCCCCCCCACTGAGCAAATTTTTGGCCGGCGCGTTTTTCAAATTTTCGGGAGCAAAAAAAAAAAAAGTTGGGCCCCCTCCCCTAAAAAATCCTGGATCCGCGCCTGCCTATATCCAATATATATATATATATATATATATATAAGCTTATAAGTTGGGAAATCTATAATCAGGCAATCGAGGGACTTTCTGCCCCACGCACCAGCTGGGGGGGGGGGGGGGGAGGGGGGGCAGGGGCAGTGCTTAAAAATGCCCCCAATCCGAATCAAAGATGATCAAAATGTAGGTGCATGAAAGTCCCAGACCCTTATTTACATGGAAGCGGCAATGAATTTATTGATATTTGCTACTGATTTTAACAACAAAAATTATATATGGTAGGCCTACCACATTTTGTTTATAATTTAGACAGATATAATTTTCAGTGCGTGAGACTAAAATCCAAAATGGCGCTGTCCACGAAATTTTATGGACTGTCATCCAAACGAGAACTATGGCTTCCTTTGTGAGTATATCGTCCCGAAATGATCGAAAGAACCATTTAAGATTCCGTATAAATTCACATTGTTTGCCTAATTGTGTTCAATAAGATACGAGAAACACTTTAATATCGCTAATCACGTAAGTTTTTTTCTTGATCATGCGAGGCGATTTTTTTCTTGTAGTCCCATATGTTGAATTTTTTGTTACCTTTCTATTAAGTTGACTGTGCAGACTGGTATTGGTAACATAAAGGGAGTAGATTTATCTGTTGTACCATATAGTTAACTCATAAACAATAGTGTTAATTTGAATGACTATTTTTATTTTTGAAATGCTGAACTTGTCTTGTCTAAGACTCTCCTTACTCTACTCGTCAAGACTCAAGTCTAGTTGATTAAAATATTTGACTTTGAGTGGATGCTCAGTCTGAGTCTCTTTATTTTTAAATTATTATTTTTTCAAAATGTAAGTTTTTGATTTTATTGTATTTTGTTAAGTATTTTTCGAAATTAACAAATAATTTGTGTTTGTTTTCTCTCTCTTTTTTGTTGTTGTTTTGTTTATCAGTAATTGTTTCTTTCCATTTTGATTCTGGATGAAATTTCTTTATTGTCATTTTCAACTAGACTATTTGGTTATACTATTTTTTTTAAATCATGTTCAAATTTATTTAAGTGTGTATGTTGTTTGTCACTGATTATCTTATTAGGGTTTTCACTTCTTTGTTTTTGATATCTATTGAAGGTTTACCCAGGTGAGGTTTAGCCGCTACAAACCAACATACGTTCCTCCCGTAGTGAACAGACAGTCCTACGAAGACGGTTCCCTTCCACTGGACATCAGCACACCGGTCAAGGCTGCCGTAGGAGACATCACATCAGCCTTCACCTATGACCCTTTGGTCCAGTAAGTCATCTAGGCAGCATCTCAAATGACCATCCTAAGCTGGAGTGGTTCTAGAAGAAGAATTTCTTTTTGGAAGGGGGGAGGGGCTTGGGGGTTCTGGCCTTGCTTGAATTAATTTATAATCGAGACCTTCCTTCTCCATTGTTCTTCAAAGTGTGCCTTCAATAGAACAAGAAATGTAATGAACAATATAAACAAATTAAAATAATGACGACATAAAGAAATATGTAGGGGCATCATTTTATGAGTACTACATGTATTTACCATTAACTCTAGATGAATTGTTAATAGATATTTTTTGAAATCTTAGGAAAAACATGGTAAATGGAAAGTTTCAAGTGACCTCACTATGCAGTGTGTTGTCAATACATGTACAAGACAAATGTCTGTGTGTGTCTTTGTTTGGGGGGGGGGGGAGAAATGTTTTGCTTAATTACCTCTTCTTCCTGCCTAGCTGCTGTATACCTCCAGACTGCTTGTGTCATGATGGATCCTGACAAAATGTTAATGTCTCTCTTTCCAGCAAATTTGTAAATGTGATGAACAAGAAGGGGCAGAAGGAAACTGTTTCTAAGATCATGGAGAAGGTGAGAAGGGATCAACTTATTTACTTTCGATTGTACAACCCTATTGTGTCATGGGCAGCAAATTCCACCCAAGAACTTCAATGGTGCACTATATGTTTGGAATGAATACCTTGGTAGCTAGGGGGAATGCACAGTATAGTTTATACCAATTGAAGATATTTCATGGTCAATTTGACAAGGCAACAATAACATTTTAATGATGATAATACATTTCAGGCTTTCAAGCAATCCTACTTTTCCTACTTTTTCATTTTTTTTTTTATTGTGCTCCTACTTTTCCTACTTTTGTTTGAACATGTGATATAACCCCCCCCCCCCCCAATTGCAACAGGGGAAATATTAATCCACTTTGGAAATATGGTCCGTTGGTCTAATACATACCTCCTCAAATGCTAGTCAATATCAAACAACAAACAATTACATGTATTTTACATTTATAATGATCACTCTAAAGTACAAGTCATATGTTTTGATGTCCCTTTTTATTCCTATCCAGACTTTTGAAATCATCAAGTCCAAGCAAGTGGAGAAGTACAACAGGGCATCCGAGATGGACAAGTCCAGTCTAGAGACCAGTCCGAGGGTCATCTTCATGAAGGCCATAGAAAACTGCAAGCCTTCCATGGGTCTGGTCACAATCAAGCGAGGTGGCAAGAACTATCAGGTAACCTGGTCTACTCTTTAATACCAGTGTCTTTCTTGCAAGCTTTCATGATCTTAAGAACTAAAGGTTGATATTCTGTTTACCAAAATGATATTGTTATCTTGTTTCGATTTGTTCCTGTTATGCAATCTTGTTGCTCCAGTATTGTCCTTCTGCCTTTCTGTTATTATGTCACTCAAAGTTAACCTGATTTGGTATTTTTCGTCCCAGTCCCAGCGCATTTGTCCCAATATATGATTATTGACTGCGTATCCCAGATACCTATTTAATGTTTATTGTACCTGTTGGGGAGGGAAGAGAGGGAGAGTGAGTGAGGGTGTATGGAGAAAAAAAAAAGGAGAAAATGGTAAACAAAAAGGGGTGAGCATGGTTAGAGAGAACAAAAGAAAGAGAGAGAGAGAGAGAGAGAGAGAGAGAGAGAGAGAGATCCAACTTTAGATAAGATCTGAGAACATGTATGTACCGGGGTAAAAAAATTCAAACTCTTGCTTTAATATACAAGGCCAAGGTACCCATATACACAGAATACACACAGAATACAAGTATATGATACCCATGGAATACACAGTTTAAGGCATTCAGATGCTACAACCTGTACCATGGCTAGACTTATTTTGAGCCAAACCAGTATTCCTTCCTCTACTCACAGAGATGCCAACCAGTATGATTAAATTGTATTTAGTACGATATTAAAGGTAAAGACCAGTATTGGAAACGCTCCAATTTCAAAAAATGAAATGGAAGCTCTCATTACCAATCATGTGAAAGAATATGTTTTGACTAATACATGATGATAAAAAATTTGCCGGGAAACCGCCTACTAATTCATATATTTGGTAAATTTGTTTCTCTCATGGTCTGTGAGAGATATAGGGTAGTCCTATACACATCTTTCTGTGTATAGTGCTTGTAACTTTACAAAGAATGGGCCAAATTTCTTATCATTTTGATAATTCCAGAACCTTGCAGATGCTAGATGCTAGATGATCAACCTTTTCTGATCGATTCCACGTTTCTTTCACAATGCAATCGCATGACCATAACTGGTCTTTGCCTTTAAGAGTGAAATACGACGATATCACCTCTTAAAATACGATTTAAAAAAAATATAAATTAAACCCATAAAACCCCATAAAAACAGTAGAATTGCATAGAAACATATACAAGTAAACCCGCAACCCCCACCAAAAAACTTTGGTTTACAATTTCTCATTAAATTTTAATGAAAGAGCAAACATTTTACTTGACCGTACTTTATACCAGTAAAACATTTTTCTGATATTTTACTGGCCTGGGGCCGACGGGCCAGTAGTAGTGTCAAGTTTTCGTGAAAATCTGATTTTTCTCTCCAAAATCTGATAATTTTTTTAGGATACTCGGTCTGTTTTTTGTGTCAAGAGGTTGGCATCTCTGTTCTCATCATGAGCCTTTCCTTTCTCCTTCTTTAATATTCCAGGTTCCCTCACCTCTGAAGGATAACAGACAACGGTTTCTAGCCATGAAATGGATTCTGCAAGAGTGTGAGAAGAAACCGCTCAAGATGCATATGCCAGAGAAACTAGCTCAAGAATTCCTAGATGCATTTCATGATCAGGTAGGTTTACAATGTTCAAATTCTCCTGTACTACAATAAGATCTGGTATGCAGTTGTATTGTAAAGCTATCTTAAATAACACTTCAATTGATTGCATGATCTAAAAAGCAAAAGACCCAAATCTATATTTTGTCAAAAGAGCTAAATAAATATTTTGTTAAAGAGCTCTCTAAGGTATATTTAGTAAATTTTTAAAGCATGCTGATTAGCGCACTATGAAGAGTTTTAGACTGTTTCAGACTTTCAGTTTACGATTTTTCTACTCCTATATTCTGTACAACAATGTATATTTTGATCTATTAACTGTTAATTTTTGTGGCACCATACAGATACCGATGCTCTTTTTATCCCCTATAAGATACAATTCACATATTATTTGACCCTTCCCCGAGAGGGAGGGAGAAAGATAAACATTTATTTCTATAACAATTTAAAAATTATTACGATTTCTCTTTCTTATTACAGGGCAATGTAGTGAAAAGGAAACACGATCTTCACAGACAGTGCGAGGCCAATAGAGCGTACGCTCACTTCAGATGGTGGTGATGAACATTTTCACAATTGTGAAAAAACAAACTTATTGACAGTTCTAGAAATTTACAGTTCGTGTAAAAATGGACCTCAAAAGGACTGCAATACTACCCGGTATATGCAATCTTCAAGAGGATGATACTGGAAAGCAGTGTAGTTTCAAACAGACTGGATTTTTTGAGGATCATTGGAAAGCTGGACAAGGAACTGTTGTTTCAGTGTCGGAGGTGTCCTGAAGTTGTCTGCATGCAGAATTCAACTTGCATTGAAAGCTACCAGTGGAGATTGATATGTATGGATCTGTTGAAGAATATTGATACAAGGCGTCTTTGTTTTGCGAGGATTGATCATTGTATGGAAAGCATCGACATAATTATATTAAATGGTATACTTCTGTGATTGTCGTTATCAACCGCCTTTGAACTTTGCAAGGTAGACCCAAAATGTTGACCAATAACTTACCAATGATGAAGATAATAGGATCACTCTAATGGTGGAATAATTGTCTGGATAATAATGCTGGAATCAAATCTAAAGACAATTCCAAATCAGCACCATTCTGGGCTATAAAAGAGGAAGTTTAATTCACAATTTGTTTTCAAGATCCCCAAACTTAGGCTAATTACAAGCATTTAATTATACCTGTCCTCATATGTCTTACATATTTTTTTTTCTAAAACCTTCTCGAAGATTTTGAGTAAACTCTGGATTGAAGCTTACATGTGTATCATATGTATACTAATATAATTTACATCAATATTTGCTAATTGCTGTGAACTGATATACATTTCAAAAAAATCTTGGACTCTTGAAATTTGAAGAATCATTTATGATAAAATAAATAGTTATATACATGTATTTCTGATTCGCTATGGCATTTTCTTATTTTGTATTATGTTTTAACACATTGAAGATGCAGCATTCAGATAAACTTACGCTTGAAAGACAAAAGAGAAGAGAAAATATATGTCTCAATGTATTGAAGATTGTTTGTACAAATCAAGTACAGCATAAACAAAATGAAAACATAACAAATTAAACACTTAAATCCACAATTACCAGTATTCTATTTTAATCTTGTATAATTCACTGGAATATACATGCTGACATCACACACTGGGTTGAAGCAATACATTCTAGAATAATTCTTTTACATCAAATTACATTCAGATTGATTCAAATCATTACATACACAAAAGGATCATCTTGGTTATGAAAATTTAAGAGATGAGAATTTTTTTCAAACATGCTTTTATCCATACATTGAATATGGCCAAATATTTTCCTTGTATGCTATAAGAATATCTCTGATTATGTTATAAATTTCAAATTTCATGAAATCAAAACTGGAATAGCAAGCTAAATTATTTTAACTATCAACCTTCTTTCAGTAACAAACCAAAAGGAGAAAAAAGCACCATCATCCACTGGCTCGAGCGAAACTGGCATTTCAAAGCCAGCATATTACAAAATTACCTTGATGTTTTTCCAACTGAAATAAGAGAATGACAACAATCTAAGATTAATCGTATCAACATTGTGGGTTTTTTTCTGAATGACCTGAACATATTAACTGTCTAGCAGTGCTCCTATTTTCAAGGTATATTTTGTCATGAAACACAACGTATTTATAGCAATTACATCTACTGTCTCTGGTATACATATATGGGGTGTTTTCATAAGTACACATACCAACAACATTCAAAACCTGCCATAAATTAGATAAACTCTTTTCTTATTTACAAGATATAGTGTGGCAAAACTTATCAACATAGATTTGGGAAAACTTCTTCTACAGAGTGACAAGATGGTGACATTTAAATAATGTAAATACAAAACAAAAATTACAATTAAAAAACATGACAATAGGTAAATTGTGGATCACTTTTTTGTGTAGAGGTATAATTTTCTAAATTCGAAAGGAACTTTTCATTTTCATTTTCATTTTTATTTTTAAAAATAGTCATATTCAAATGAATTTTTTGTATTTATACAAATTACTCAGGCTACTCAAAACGTGTCTTGATATTTGTTGTTGTATATCTATAAATCTATTGAATGGTTCCTAACTTGAAACATGTACATGTATATTAACAATATTTGATGACAAATTAAAGGAGGTATGTATGGAACATTACTTGTATAAATTGATATACTCCTCGGAAAGCACTGGAATCAATCGTGTCACTTTTCCTAATTATCATGCCTACCGGTATCTCATTTCGTACAAATGACTACAAAGTGTAACAAATCTTATAAAATTTGCACATTAATTTCAAGGAAGGCACAGCTCACATAGCATGCATCTCAGTTTTCTTAGTTAACTACATACCCTTACGTATTGCACATTTTCAGGTTTGTCAAAATCTACCGATACATATTTCTTGAAAGCGGGTGGTGCATTTTGAAAGTAACATGTAACAGAGATTACTTTTTTGGAACAGAATAAATATATATGGAAGAGAGGAAGTAAATAGGAATAAAAAGAAATGCTAAATACACCAATGTGATGAGATGTGAAGAACAGAATAATAAAAAAACAAATATATTTATAAGTACTTTTAAATTGTACATTATGTAAGCAAAATGTGACTATTTAATTTGGTGACCTAAACAGACACAAATTTTCTATAAAATAACAGTCTATAATTGTCTAATAGCATAGTTAAAAAGATAATTACCAAAATGATGTAAAAACATAATTGTGCAGCCAAAACTACAAAATATATTTGTAATTATTAAAATAACCAGTCACAAAAATAAAATTTTCTTGAATACAATATATCGCGATCAATATCTAATGCACCAAAGCAACATGCAACTCAATGGTATCTTATGGGAAATTTGTGGAATAACAAATGGTGGTTATCAAATTGTGCACCACTACACAAGAAAACATGTCTAAACATCCTCTTGATAAGAATACTGCATGACTGAATACTCAGAAAGGAGAATTCATCCCAAGTTTGGTCCCAAATTGGAGCTTGGTCCTCTTCTGCCACCTCACAAAAACCCTGAAAGAAACAGGGTAAAAAGAAAAAATAGGTGTTAAAAATTGGATGGGAGTATTCAGGAAAGGCAAAGTATTTCTGGATTGTTTGTGGTACTGTGCTTGATTTGTGACAGCTCAGTTTAATCATATGACATTGAGTTGTCCTTTTTTTTTTCTTGTCCAAATCAAATTATTAACGATAGATGTGTATGGGCAAAAGCACCTTGTATTGTCCTTTTCTTGTCATTATTTATATATGAATTGCTTTTCATTCTCGCCCTACTTTCTTCCGTTCGTGATTGTTGTATTTTGTATACATATTTTAATATTTTTTTTTGTGTGTGCATGGACCTGTGGAAAAACAGTCAGGCTAAGGTAGGCCCCAGTGCTTAGAAAAAATGAAACAAACAATGAAACAAACTTCTGACAGCTGAATACATTGCAAACGGCATGCATCAATCAGAAGTAAGTGAAGCACGTGAACTGAAAGGCCCTCTTCTTCCCATATTTATAATCTCATCATAATAATAATAATAATACATATGCCTTTCTAGTATAGCGCATATTACATTATGATATAACGTCTCTATGCACTTCCAAAAGACTAGATATTATTACCCCGGCATTAGCTCCAGCCAAAGGACATTTGTGCCGCGGCGGGATTCAAAACCCGTACCTTGTGGGTCACAGTCCGGAGACTCATCCACTGGACCACAAAGCCTCTACATATCAGAGTACAGTCAAACCTGTCTATAGTAACCACCCAAGAGAAACACAAAAGTGGTCTTTGTAGACAGGTTCCTTTAGTACACGTTTCGATGAGAAACCATTTTCAAGGGAAACAAAAAATGTGGTCTTTGTAGACAGGTTCCTTAAGTACATGTTTCAATGAGAAACCATTTTCAAGGGAAACAAAAAAATGTGGTCTTTGTAAAGAGGTGGTCACTAAAGCAGGTTTGACTGACAAGGTATTGAAACAAGAGGAAAGTGCTGCCTTACTGTATCTCATACTGCTTGACGGCTTCACAGAGGAAGAGAACCACCAGCGGCCATAGGAAACCAATCAGCCATACCTCCAGAGGAATGTCCTCCAGACTCGAAGGCATCCCTGCTGCATCAGCTGATCCCCATATGCTCATGTCTATCGCAAAGAAGATGATCTCAAGGATGAATCTGCGTATAATAATAATAATAATAATAATAAAAATAGGCATTTATATAGCGACGTCTATCTTGACAATTCTTTACGAGGCGCACAAGAAAAATAGAAAGAATAAAAGAGTTTGGATGAGTGTCATAGTGCCTAGTACAGGTATTGATTCAAAAGATGAGATTTCAGCTGGACTTAAAAGTCTCTAAGGAATGATGGAAAAGAGTGCTTTTTAGCTGCATTTACACTGCAATAAAAAATTGTTGATTTTTCTCACACTATACCGGAGTTGGACTTTGGTGCGTGAAAAGTACCCCTTTACCGGACATTTTGGTAACACGCATGGTATCGCTCCGATCACGAAGTGGGGGGGGGGGGGGGGGGGAGGGGGCCGGGCACTACTCACCCAAAAATCTGGTATGAGCAAACACCAACAGTTTTTTTAATGGGCTTTTTTCAGTAGTGTAAATGACAGTCCAAAAATTGATTTTGTAAAATGGTGATTGGGATGTGTGAATTGGCCTTTTGTCACTATCTAATGTTTGCTGCACATGAAGTACGCAGTTACTAGAAATACATCGATTGTAATACTTCTTTTTCACCCAACTATTCATGTATGGATTGAGTGTTTCATGCTTTTTAGTAAATCTGCATCACAATATACAAATGAACAAGTGCCACGTGTGTTTGGGTATCATTTATCATCTTCAAGATTCAGAAATATATCTATATTTGACCAAATTTGAAAGATGCTGACCACCTCAATCCCTAACAAAAATTTATCAGAGTTCACAAAACCAATGTGTCATTTGATATTTATTTTATGTTAGCAGTTTTTTCCTTCAAGTTTTGATTGAGTTATGGAAATGAAAATTATTTGACTTGAATTGAATATATATATATATATATATTTCATGATACTGGATCTGATACTTCTTATCTACTCACAGTGCACAGACGACTCCACACCATAAATAGTTCCTGAACGGTGGTTTCCTCCACAAGGGTTGTAAACAATTAACAAAGCTAGCTGATGATGTAACTGGGAGAGAAACAAGAAACAAATTTATGGGATAAACAAAAGAAATGAAGATGAATTAACACCAACTTGGACAGATGGAAGTAGGTAACCTTACAGATGTGCAGGAATTTGATCTGGGTAGCAGAGAAGTGTGTTGAAACATGAAATATCTTATAAATATTTATAAATATCAATAACGGTAGACGCATGTTTATAAAAAAAAGATATTGACACTTTCAAGAAAAATAAGAGAAATGGATATAGGGGAACATACAGAGATGGAGTAAGAGAGAGGCACAGAGAGAAAGAGAGAGAGGGAGAGAGGGAGACAGACAAACAGACAGAGAAAGAAGATAATTCGATCATAATAGCAGAAAAGTGTATTGAAAGAGCGAGAGAGAGAGAGAGAGAGAGATATACATATATAGGATGACCTCGTACTTACTGAAATACAATGTAAGAAGGAATGCCTGAATATTTTGTGCCAGTACTTGATGTGAGGAGTACTCCTCTCTCCATCCATTCCAGCTTGATGTCATGTTTCTGAGGAGTCACAGAGAACACATAGAAAGGACAGGTTGGCAGCTAGAAAATTATACACATCAAAGTCAACACACATGAATAAATGTTATGCACTCATATACAGTCTAACCTGTCTTAGTGGCCACCTCTCTATAAAGGCCACCTGTGTATAGTGACCACGCATTTGTCTCCCTCATGAGAGAAATGTGTGATGTAGAACCTGTCTAGAAAGGCAACCTATCTACAGTGGCCATGTTCTATGTTTACCTTGGGTGGCCTTGATAGACAGGTTTGACTGTAGTTGCAACTATGACTAGAATTTAATATTCTCTTTTTTCACTAATAATATCATAAACATTCAAGATGCAGTAGGTCTGTGCTGCATATATTTGATACGCACATTGGCTACAACATTTTTGCATGGTATCTGTTAAAAAGAAGATTTTAACATCAAAATAAATAACTGACGATACTTTCAACTAGAAAGTGAAATATTCTTCTTAAAAGATGATCAGATGATTAGAGAAAGAGAACCTACAAATGAAAGCAATCATAGAAATTTAGAAACAAATTAACCACAGAAAAAGGCTGATAAGCACATATGCAAAGCAATAACCACAATGACTGCTGAGAGAGACACATGAAGAAATTCATAAATTACTTCTTCCTACCTGTTGTGAAGGATAAAATGGCAATCTGTTGGATCCTCTGCAGTCTCCTTGCAGAAAGCAAAGAGAGTTAGGAAGTGGCATACAGTACAGATCACGACCGAACCCAGGAACTTGGTCATGAAGTAGAAGCAGAATAAGACCACATGCTACAAGTAGGGAAGGAGAGAAATAAAGAGAGAACATCAATCAGTAGCTATGGGCGTCTTTTCTTAAGAAAATTACTTCATTTTTGTTCAAAATGATATGAGATTTCGGCTCACTTTCTCTTAAAAATATCAACAAAATAAAATAACTTTACCGGGTAATCATTAGAGGAATATGAGAAAATTCCTTGCTCAAATTCAAGTCATACCTTAAGCTAGCAAACATGGCTTCTCATTTAATATTAATGTAAAAAAAGAATGAAGCATCAATATCATCACTTTAATTATTTAAGCCGTTTTTCAAGATCACACAAAATGAAACCACATACTACTGACTTCATAAGATACAAGTTCACTTACATCAGTATTGTGCTCCCTCACGTTCTTGCCCGTAGCCTGGGTCATGACCTTTGACTGGGAGTTTGACCCCATCAGGGCCACGGCCAGCAGTGGCACGACGACCGAGGCGAGCCAGAGGACGTGACGCCCGCTGAGAGGGGGTGGCAAGAACAGCAGTGTACACAGGAGTTGGATTGCACTTAGGGTCAGCAGACCAAACATGAAGAAGGTGAAGCAGTTGACCATCCCATTGCAAATTCCCCTGGCCTACGCTCAGAAAGTAGAAAGTAGAAAGTAAAGGTTAGCAATATGAAAATTATAATATGAAATGAGGTATATGGTATGATCACAAGTAGAATGTATATGTCACGTAAGAATGCAAAGAGCATAATTCATACAGTTCATAAGTGTATTCAAAATGTATTATTAACAGGTAGTAAAAGTGAAATTAAAATTGCAACTTCAAATCTGACACATTATTTCATTCAGTTCACTCTGGTTTTAATAGACTACTCTTCTTGATTAAAACATTCAGTGCCTGTTAATTATTAACAAAATTCTAGATACCTGTATCCATCAAAGAGCAGGGTATGCAGTCACTTTTTCCCCAAAATTATTAGTCAATCAAGGTTCATTTTTACACACACTTCAATTCTCACATGGGAATGAGCAGAAAATTGTAAATATTATATATTTGTGTCCTTTATTTTGTCTATTATCTAACAGAGACCAACGTAAATACTTGAGTACCCGATGATCCTACCCAGTTTTAAAACCTACTAGAAGCTTAGATTAGACCAAATAAGAAGGAAAATCACTCTTTATGTTAATTTATATTTATTCTTTAACATTTTTTGAAATGTTCAAGATACCTTGGACTTGCCCTATTTTGATGCAACAGATTATAAACTGGACATAACTAGTATCCATACCTCTCTGATGAGCGAGATGAGACTGATGTTATCCAACCGATGGAATGAGAGAGAACAGGGTAGACTGGTGAGCAGACTGGAGACCTCTAGTGGCGACCAGGGGGGGTGTGATGACGTCCAGTTGGGCGTAGTCTTCGGGCGGGCGTGGTCTTTGTTCATACAGATGTGGGGTGGTAACGGCTCCAAGCCGATGCTGCTCAATAAAAAAATATAAAAAAATAGAATCAAGGATACAATAATACAAGATACACTTTAAGAAATTTCTTTTTGTTTGGGGAAAGATATCTAACATTCATATATGTCTTATATGAGCATGTCATTCTCCTATTTCATCTCACAACAGTGTTTTTGCAATTCTCTAAATGTACTGCATAGTTAAAGATATCTAAAGCTGACTAAACCCGGACCTTGCTTTTAAAAAGAAAAACAGTGGAAAAACACTAGACAGTATTTTTTTTTAAAGAGTTTAACATTTAAAAAAAAAACATTAACATTACCTTATATCTGCTTGAGCAAAGATGGATGCATTGGTAATGTTGAGACTGCTTCCCAAACAGCACACAACCTCTCCATTCTCCTGCATAATCTCCACCATCTCACGGGTCGCTATGGAAACAAGAACAACAATGATATCACACAACAAATTATGCAATTGAAATGATGAATGAGTAAATTTGGAAAGAAATAAAATCCCTAGAGTGAGTGTGCAGTATTCTCTAGTTTAAAAAAGTTGCAACAAATACAAAATTTGAATGCATCATGACTTCAATCCAGTTATATTTACATATTCAGACTTGTGCTTGAATTTTGGACTACCGGTAATGGTTGAATGCAATCCTTAATGCATAATGAATGCAAAATGTTCAAGGGTTAACCATTTGAGGGAATATGCTGCCTCGAAAGACTACAATATGTGGAAATTCTCATCCACATAGTACAAAAATTCCAATGAAAATTAGGAGGTATCACGGGAGTGATTTCTTCAGATACCGTTACAGTATTACAATTCAGAATGCACCATCTGCAAATGAATTAATTACACAGATCATGCCACTGAGTTTCGCCAAATTCTTTCACTAAAAGTTTAATGACAGAACTCACTTTCTGGAGTGACATCTGTGAAGAGGGGTACGAGGAGGGGGACATTGTCGATCCTCTCTATGTGCGGTCTGATGTTGGCTATCCCTCGAGGTAACTTGGCCTGGAAAAAGAAAAAACATCAATATTTCGCTGATATTTCATTTATAGCTTAACCCTAGTTTCAAATAGAATATTACATGATTTTCATTACCCAATGTAAAATATCAAGAAGTTATTTTTCTAATTTCAACTGTTGAATGTGATAAGAGTGATTTTGAAAAGCCCATGATGTGTTGCCCTATATTAAACTTCCTTTGATATGGAAATTACTGTAAATGATATCCATAATCTGTAAAGCATAGAATTATTCAAAAAATCATCTGTATCGAAATATGAAGCTTCACAATTATGCCTAGATTACAATATTCTGTAATGGCTACAAAAAAATGATGCTAACTGTTGTGATCCAATGTACATGTAGTCATTTAAATTGATCTTGTATTTTCGTATTTATACCATTAGACATCCCATAATGAAAGGGAAAAAACATGGATTGACATAAACTATACAAACCCCTACCCTCTGTGATATCATGCACTTAAAATCAGAAATAGAAAAAAAAAACTTTCAAATCTTACCCTGTTTGAAATATCAAATCCTCCAGCTGTTTCGCTCTCTGTCTGATGGCTCAAGGTATCTGTCCCTGCTGCAGAGACATCGCTATTGAAAGTCTGCGTCTCAGAGATCTGCCGCTGTCTGTTGGAAAGATCAAACGGCTTGGCCGGCGGCTGACTCAAGAGGGCATCGGTCTCTTTGGCATCCTCGGAGTTGTTGGCGTTTGTGGGCTGGGTCTGAAGAGGAAGGGTGGGAATGGATTGCGAGTTTGGTGATGATGGAGATGATGGATCAGATGATGTTGTCTCATTGCGATTTTGGTCTCCTAGCAACGCGTCATCCTCCTTTGGTCCTGTACTTTCCATGCAAGAAGTATCCTCTGAATGATGCGATGTTTTTGTCCTACTTTCAACACCAGTATCTTCCTGTAATAAGGAAGGCTCCCGAAGTCCTCCTTCTTCGTCTTTTTCCGCATCTCCCTCCTCCTCCTCCTCCTCATCGTTTGCATCTTCGGTGTCTGCATCCCTACTGCATGGTCTTGCTAATTTAGGAACAGCTGATCCTTTCATAGAAACCACCACGTTTTCACATGGTCTACTCCCATTGTCAATATTACTCCCTTCTTTTACTTGTTGGCTAGAAACGACATCACCTATTTCTTTTGCCTCCTCCCCTATCAAGCTCTCCATATCTACCACTACAACAGCCTCCACAGGATCAAAGCGTACTCTCTGTGCCTCCACCTCAATCTGAATGAAAGAGATGAGAAAAATGAATCATAATCACATATAACCACAAAAACAAGAGGGGGTTATCATCATCGTCGTCATCATCATCATCATCATCATTACCATCAACATCATCATCATCATTTTCATCATCACAATCGTAGTCATCATCATCATCATCATCATCATCAATGGTAATCATACAAGAAAGGGCCAAAAAACAAATAGAGAGTAAAAGACATTTTCTTAAAAGGAAAGAGGAAAATAACATATTATTCAAGAATGGTCTGGAAATTGATCTATTTTGACTATTTCTATTACGAAAGTGAAGAATAGATTAACTAAGACAAAATATGAGGGACCCTTTTTCAAATATCTTTCATAAAGTATTCAAAACATTCCATTCAGAAATTATGTAGTCTGTATTATGAATGTTTTGTTCAAAAAGTGTATTACATGTATAATGGTCTGACTCCTCATCTGTACGTTTGTAAAATGTGAGCAAAATAAATTTCCAATATTGGACAATAAATTGAAATTGAAATGAAATTATTCAAAGACGTACCTGTGCTTCATCAGCGGAGTGGGGAGACGACGTCTCCGTCCCATCCGACTTGGGTTCCCTGGTATCGCTATGCCTGTTGCTCATCTCTCCGTCGGTGATGGTATTATTATCATGTCCGCTGCTGCTGTGGCTGGAGTACTGGCGGGACATGTCTCCCGTGTGAGGGAGGTGGGAGGAGCTGGAGGACGAGGAGTCCTGGTCCAGCAGGGAGATGTGGCAGTTCCATCCCGCCTCCAGGCCAAGCTTCTCAGAGAATACCTATGGAAGAATGGTTAAAAAGTAGATTAAGAGAGATGTGAGTTGATCAAGAGGTTCCAAGGTCAGGTCTATGGTCTTCAACTTTAGTTTAAATATGATCTGGAGAGTGTTTCACAAAGACTAAAATCGACTTTAAGTTGAACCTAACTATGGCAGGCCGTTCATGCCACTCTTTGCTCTCACCATTTACTGGCATTGGTCTCTCAAGGGACATACAAATCATGGTCCCAAATCTACATAATTTTATAGTCCATTATTGAAGGGAAATATGATCTAAAAATCGTAATTGAGAGATAGTGAGAGTGACCAGTGACAAGAATAGCCTGCCATAGTTAAGTCTAACTTAAAGTCAATCTTAGTCTTTGTGAAACACTCCCCTGGGTCTTCAGAATGGCAATCTTTGTCAGTCCCAGATGAAAACAATTATATTGGACTGATGAACACCTTTAAATACACAACTTGCATGCACAGATTTATCACAAGACAAAGATAATTGACATATCTTCGACCCTAGCTGGGACACCTCAAGCAATAAAATGCTTGGAAGAAAGCAGGCGGCTGCTTGCACCTTGACAGTTGATGCAAGAGATTTTCAGGATTTTGAAAACATCACTGTTAAGATTGCATAATGTAGAGGTGTCTCTTGGTCGAGTTGATATGTCATCTGACTGTGGATCACAAGGTCCGCGGTTCGAGTCCTGCTGCCTCACTAATGTCCTTTGGCAAGACATTAATCTACATTTGCAACACTCGACCCATGTCATGTAAATGGGTACCTGGCAGGTATTAAGTCCTTAAATTCTAAAGCGCTGTAATGGCAGCCATGCTAAAGCCATGGTAATAATTGTGGAGCGCCAGGAGTGTCAAGGCTTACAGACATGAGCGCTATACAAGAACCTGCTATTATTATTATTATAATGAGGAGAATAGAGATGAGATGCAAGTACAGAGAGTCTATGTAAAACATTACCCTGCTTCTAAGCTCTTGGTCTCGGGAGAAGTGGACGAATCTTATACAGGCATTGTCCAGCTGCTCAAGGAGGGCTACAATGTCTCCTTTTGCCTGATAGTTACTTGTTACCATGCCGATGAAGATCTGCCCACACTGAGATCTGGATGAATGAGAGAGAGAGAAAAAGAATGAGTTTACATTCACACAGATAATGGTTCATGTGGGTTAAAGGTTAAGAAGACCAATACATGGAGAGAGAAGGGGATGGAGAAATAAGAGTAGGAGTAGGAGAAAGAGCTTAGGTCATGGACAGAAGAGAGTAAGAGAAAGAGAGGTCTGTGGGATGAGAGGATGGAGAAAGATTTGTTTATGTAAATTGTAGGGTGGAAGATAGCTCTTTCTTGAGTTCTGTCATACTGATAGTGTTTGTGCAGGATCCGTCCAACCTTGTGCATTGCCATCTTAACCATCATCCTCATTATCCTCATCCTTATTAGCATCCTCATCATAATCACCATCATCATCCTCATCGTAAGCATCATCCTCATCATCAACTTCATCATCATCATCATCACCATCATCATCATCATCATCATCATCATCATCATCATCATCATCATCATCATCATCATCATCACCATCATCATCATCTCATTAATCCTCCTCCTCCTCACCTATTTCACAATCATCACCATCATTAAAATCATCATCATTATCATCAAAATCATCATCATCATCATCATACAATGACTTACTTGCAGCATTCTTCAGCACTTCTTATTGTTCCATGTTTATTCATGGTCGAATCTAGGCTGTGGTATTTCCTTGTGCGGTGGACAGCTGTATTGGGTTCTCTGCTTGTATCCATATCCCAAGAGGATCTGAGTCAAAATATACCACATGTACAAATAGCACATCATCATAATTATAGCATAATCACAGCTGTTGAAAATAAAACATATTATAATTCCCCTCTCATCCACAATCCTTTTCTCTCTGAAAGGCCCCTTCTTTGAAATGTTAGAATCCCTCCTCAAATATCATCCCACCCACGCCGAGGGAAGGTTTCATTGACAAGATATGAGTAGGAAATACATAAAAAAGTAATCTACCGGTACCGCAAAACGTGAAAATAAAATATGTATTTTCAGAATTAAAAAATTCATCCAAAATGAATTCTCAACGAGCAAAAAGAATAACATTGATACAGTGTGTACATTTATTTGATAGGACAAGAGACTGATCTGATTTCAACAAAAATCTTTGAATTTCACAAGAGAAAGATTGCTTTTATGTCACGTAATGTACAAAAATCTGGATGAAAAAACAAGACATCGATCCACAATTCTATGTACCTTCTTCCTTTGTTGTCAATGTGATAGTTTTGTGTCCAAGTAATAATGATTAATTTTTTTTCTTCTTTGTTTAAAGTGACTCGGTAACACTGCCTCAGGTTTTGAAACAAAATCTTGAATTTAGCTCATGCTGCACCATAATTATAAACCTATAGGTCATTCAGGAATCCTATGACTTTTACAAGCCAATGGCATTATCGAGATATCTATGACAGGAAGTCAAAATTTCATTTTTTGTTTTCCTGATGGATTTTATAACACTACAGTCTATTAGGAAAAATGAGTATGGTAAAACCGGTCACTCAAAGATTTTTACTTTTTTGAGGCACTTCATGATCATTTTGAAGCGCAATTTTTTTAGGGCTTCAATATTAAACCATATCACAGACACTAATAACACATGGGGCCATACATCTCAGATTTGTAAAACTGGAAACATTGTTAAACGATGCCTTTAAAAAAACACTAAAAAAAAACCAAGTAGCTAGCTATCATACCTGGCCAAGCCTGGTATCTCAGGCATATCATGATCATCAGAACGCTTGTGATGGGGAGGTAACTCAATATAATAATCTCCAAGACGATCATCAATCGACTCTGCCATCGGCTGGTAGGCAAACGCAGTACAGTACGAGGATAAGGTCGCTCTCTGGTAAAAATCTAGAATTTTCTTGCTGCAAGTAATAATAATAATAATAATAATAATAGCCAAATAGTCCACTCCAAATTTTATTAAACCGAAATGGAAATTCTTTTTGCCCATTTGATCTTGAGCCCGGCAGCCACTGAGCAGCGCCAGATCGACGTTGCTCTATCCCTTATTGTTGAATGCCAAACAAGGTAGCAACAACTCCCATCTTTTAACGTCTTTTGGTATGACGCGGCCGGGATTCGAACCCACGACCTCCCGGTTGTGAGGCGGACGCTCTACTGACTGAGCCAACACTCCGGTATTGATGTTAAAGAAAATTGTGTTATTAGATCAAAATTAAATTGGATAATTTTGTAATTCAAATAAGACACATCTTTAAGCCTATTCGCACTTAGTTTGGCCAGGAGGGATTAGACCTCCCTGCACTGGCAGGTGGTTATCTCATCAAATCAGCTCTTAATTAACATGAAAAAAGGGGACCATGGTGGATCAATGGGTACCACTTAGGCATTGTTGGCTGTATAGAGGGCACAAGTAGCTACAAGTAGTGCAGTCCCACTTTGAGTGCATGAGAGTGTATCTGTCCTACACATGCACGATAGAAAAACCATCTTATTATCAAACAAAACAGTCTAACATTCTCCTTCCATGAGATATAATAGCATTACATTCTTAAACATGCTTCACCAAATAATCATTACCTTTCATTTTCTGTTAGTGAAAAGAGGTTAGAGCCATCCCAGAATTCTGAGCAGAGGTCAAGGAGGAGACTAGCACTTCCTTGGGTCAAAAGCTGCTTACATCCTACAAAATACAGAAAGACAGTGTTACCATCCCATCTCATTAGAAGGAGTGGTTGTTCATATTTCCCTAGTCATTAAAGCTAATCTTGAGCTCTGGTATGGGCATCGTATGTCAAGAGATCATGGCTATAATTCATTCCGGATCATGGTCACAATTCTACAGAATTTACATTTTTTTTACATTCCATTATTGAAGGAAAAAATATTATCTAAAGATCATAATTTCAAAAAAGAATTCCCTCTAATTTTACATCTGGGTCAAGGCTTGTCAAGGGCATAAATCGCATACCGTAGTACAAGTACAAGTCTTAAATATAAGTTTAGTTTACATGCAATGCAAGTAAAAAAAAATCTTCAACAATGGACTATCAAAAATGTAAATTCTGTAGATTTGTGACGTCCCTTGAGAGACCAACGGTGAGAGCAACCAGTGGCATGAATGTCCTGCCATAGTTCAAGTCCAACTTAAGTCGATCTTAGTCTTTGTGAAACACTCCCCTGATGGAGTAATTGTTGTGTAATAGAAATGTAAACATATGCATCAGAAGTTTCAAGCAAAAAGATTATTGCTCAACATTAAATAGAAATGAATCTCTATAGTATTCACATGTCTGAGTGCTTCTGGTAATATAAAAGGCATTTATTCAATGAAAGTGATAAAATATTTGATATGATGCATACAGATTGTAACACACCTGTAGACGCTTGCTGAACCAAGACTGACAATGTGTGAGGAGCTGGGATGCGTTTCTTGATGAACGATCGAGACCTAGCAAATCTCCTACCTCCCACATCATTCTCGTCGGCATCACTCTGTGATATAAAAACAAAATGACAACAATGGGAAATAGTGACATCACCAATTTGATAGATCATTGTGTACCGGTAATTATTTAATGCTGAATGTGATAACATCATAGGGGAGGTGTGATGGCTCAGGGGTAGGGCAGTGGTCTTGTAACTGGGAGTTGCCGAGTTCAAAACCAAGTCAATACGCTCGTGCCCTTTGGTAAGGCATTAATCCTCATTACCAAGTTCCTTTGCAGAGGACTTAAAGCAGTCGGTTCCCTGGTCGCTTATTAACAAGCAAATACATGCTTTCTTAGCATTCAGGTCAAACAAACAAACAAATAAATAAATAAGGTTAAATGAACCAGAATGCTCACTACTAGCAATTTTGATAAATCTGATCGGTATCAACATCTACAACATCAATTATGATATCAATAATCTTCACCATCATCATGATCTGCATCATCATCATTTTCTTCTTCTTCTTCTTCTTCATTATCATCACTGTCACTTTCACCATTTAATCATTATAAATCATCATCATCATTCACATATTTATGTTTAACATTATCATTGCTGTCATTATCAAGATCATTGTGTATGTGTGTGCTTGCATTATGATCATATTTTTATAATTTATGTTATTTATCTTCTCGTTGTCTGTTACAGGGCCCCTATTACAAGCAGAATTCTTCTGCCCGTAGGTCCTAACCATTATCTTGTATATTGTCACTTTAAATTGTTTTACAAAGGTTGAATAAAGATTTGAACTGAATTGAATTGAATTGAAAGGTTGTCATTTATAATACTATCTCGTTTAAAGGTACTTTGTCCCATGTGATTGCAATCACTAAAGTCGATTCAACAACTAATGGTCATTATTTACCCACTTAAAGCCCTTTCGTTTTGAGGGAAGTTCTAAATTGGTATTATCTTACAGATGCCCTTGGAATTTCACCTTTTTGGGGGGCCTGCAAATGGGACATAGTACCTTTAAGCAAAGAAGAACTTACAGGTAGTTTGTAAAGTGCTAACTTCTGCTTTAGTTCAAAGCTCTCCGTTGCTTGGTCTGTGAAACCCATCACTTGAGCTATCTGGCAAAGACACCTGATGCATGAGAGGAAGAGAGAGAGAGAGGGGGAGAGGGAGAGAGAGAGAGGGGGGGGGGGGGGAGAGGGAGAGAGAGAGGGGGAGAGGGAGAGAGAGAGAGGGGGAGAGGGAGAGACAGACAGACAGAGAGACAGACAGAGAGACAGACAGAGACAGACAGAGACAGACAGACAGAGACAGAGAGAGAGAGAGGAGGAATAGGAGATTATGAAATAATTCATTTCGATCAATGGAACAAGAATACAGATAAAACATTTCTTTGTTATATACATATCATATATACAAATTGAAAATACTTTGGTGGGAAAAAAAGGCTAATTCTGCAATTCATTTGATGGCCATGAATTACAGGTAGTTGTGACAAAGACCCTATATTGATGGGAACACCTTTTTAATCACCTATTATCTTGCATCTCTACATAATAATAATAATAATAATAATAGCCTAATAGTCCACTCCAAATTTTATTAAACCGAAACGGAAATTCTTTTTGCCCAATTGATCGTGAGCCAGGCAGCCACTGAGCAGCGCCCAGATCGACCTTGCTCTATCCCTTATTGTTGAACGCCAAACAAGGTAGCAACAACTCCCATCTTTTAACGTCTTTTGGTATGACGCGGCCGGGGTTCGAACCCACGACCTCCCGGTTGTGAGGCGGACGCTCTACTGACAGAGCCAACACTCCGGTACAACCAACCAAGGTAATGATACAAAATAATTATGAAGAATACTAGTCAACAAAAAGGGATAATTAGTATTAAACTTCTCTGTTTAGTTGTAAAATCTAGGTAATACAACAAAACAATTATAGAGAATACAATTAAGTGTAGAAAACGGGAATGAATAGTACCTTCTCTGGGACACATGCATGTAATGTTTGCTCTCTTCCGTGTTCACGGTGGAAGCAACATGGTCCATGAAAGAGCTGTGCGTCTCTACTGTGTTAGCATTACAGGTGTTCATCAGTATAGTCAGACCCTGTGAGGAGAAGAGAAGAGAACACACATTTAAGGTTACTAATCTATTTCCACTTTTTTTTTTTTAATCACGTCATTACAGAATTAAATGAACTGAACTGAACTGAAAATATACAAGCTACATTAGCTTGTCAAAAAAATTGATGTTTGATGATTGATGATTGTTTTACCCAACTGCTAAGAAAGCATGTATATGCTGGTAAGTAAGTAGCCAGGGGACCTAGGGCTTTAAGTCCTCTTCAAGGGACGACATGCTTGCCAAACCTGATTTTGTCAAATGAGCATGTTGTGCATCTTTGAAAATGAGTTTGCTCAAAAATAATTATCATATTAAAAAGGTCATCCAATGAAGTAGACTTGTATTAGACTTTAGATGAAATGAATAGTGTTTAGATACAAAGTGATTGAAAAGGATAGAGACAACGACAAAGAAAGACAGAAGAAAGCAAAACTAACAATTAGAGAATGAGGAAAAGGGAAGAGAGAGATAAAAAGGCAGAAACAGACAGACATACAGACAGAGAGAGGGAGGGAGAGGAGAAAAAGCAAACTCAAACTTTATGCTTTCTTACCATTGGTTTTAGAGAACTGATGTGTCTATCCCAGTTTGTTTCATCAAACTCGACACCATACAAACCCTGTAAGAAACAAAATGTATGATCTTTGTTTAAACATAGGCAATATAACTCACATAGAGTCAAAAATACACATTCATCTTTCTTGAAAAGAACATTAAATGACATTTTCAAAAATCTTGTTATATATTACGGAATCCTCAATGTGAAGCAGAATTTGTATAAACTCACTTTATGGCAAATACATTTGTCAACAACTCAACATAAATCGTAACAGAAAATAAATTCACTATCCCTATGCAGCAACTTTTACGTAAGAGTGATGGCAAAACTGGTTGAACCATACTTTGTCTTGACATCCTTCCATAACAAGCTCTTGCATCATCAAAAGACCTATACCTGCACTATCACAGTATCTTTGTGTATTGTTAGTGGCTATTAGGTAAATGTTTTTCAGGGGTCAGTCTTTGTGACTGGGATATAATAATTAATTGTCTAACTTACCGATGAATCTTGAGAGAGGGTCAGCACTTCTGCATGATGCTCAGGAAAGTGATCTGTCAGAGAGGGAAAAATAAGGCAATCTTGAAGAGTAAGAAAGATTCATTGATCCAGAGTCTTAGAATATAGCCACTAGAAAAGGACACTCCTATATGTACATGTACTTGAATCTTCTCCATTCATTCACAAGAGTGCCAAATCTCCCAAGAATTGAAATCTTCTATAAGTACTGAAGTACCGAAATTCACATTTGCACAACATAAATTTGAGCTAGGTTTAAAGGCCCACTGTACTACTTGTAGCTACTTGCTCCCTCTATATAGAAAACAATGCCTAATCGGTGACCATTCGCCCACCATGATCCTCTTTTTCTTATGTTAATTGAGAGCTGAGTTGATGAGATAGCCACCTGTCAGTGACCTTCCTGGGTGGTCTAATTCCTCCTAGCCAAACTAGTACAGATGGGCTTTAATGCTTTGCACGATTCTCTTTACAAACAAATCCTCATGTCATCATGGTAAGAAGATTATCAATAAAATCTCTTCTTATTTGACTTCTGCAAAACTTGATGGGTCATAAAACACAACATGTTTACTTCAAGATGGAAGAAGAATGGAATGTTACCTTCATTATTAAGCTTAGATTTTGATCTTTTCTTCCCTTTCTCTGTCTCATCTGCGCCAAAGACAGAGTCCTCACTGCATAAACTATCTGAGTCATCATCGGACAAACTACTCATGAAGAACACTTTCTCTGGGGTGGGGTCAGGCGTTGATAAGATACCCCTCTTGTCGACACAGCAAAGAGACTAATTAAATTGAATACAACAAAGATTATGCTCAAAATCATCATTAGATAGACTGCTCATGAAGAACTCTTTCTCAGGGGAGGGGGAGGTGGGGGGGGGGGGGGGGGGGGGGCGTTGATAAGATCCCCCTCTTGTCGACACGGCAAAGAGACTGAGCAAGCAACAAAACAATGTCTATCAAAAACCATATCATAAAGATTCCTGATTAGGCAATGACTCTCCTGATCTATGTGATGTAAATATGTAAATGATACAAGTAGAAATATATTTCTTAAAGTCATTGAATGCTACATACTGGCAGGGTCATAATATCCATAACAAATAATGACCCAACATAACTTTCTATACAATCTTATTTGATTTATACAGGCTTATGATAAAAATTTCAGCTATCTGTGTAGCTATGATTTTAATAATTTACAGTATAACATAACAAGTTTTTTCTTACTTGCACTGTAAACTTTATAGCAACCATCAAATTATTCATCAGAAAATTAGATACCGAGAGCGGTAATAATATATTTATATCTGTAAAGCGCTTTGAGAGGGCCTTCGGTCCTGAAAAGCGCTATATAAGAACTAGCTATTATAATTCTTATTATTATTATTATTAATAAAATCAGTGTATTTCATCAGTTTTATGCAATTCTACTCACAGTTACAGATCCTAATCCCTGAAGCAAGTTGCCTGTTCTCGGTAGATGAGATGAAGTACCAAAAAAGCTTGATTTGGAGCGCTGCCATACTGGTAACCATGGTAACCTTTCATCCTATAAGAAAATAGAAAATCAATTATTCTAATATTACTTTTTATCTCTACAAATTTCCTAGCAAGCATAAAGCCTTGCTCATACTTGCTGCAGTAAACCACACGAAAACTACAGAAAAAAAATTAAGAGTAAATGAATGGCAAATGGAGGTTTAAAAAAAGGACTCCTTAAATACTCGCTTATCTGTGCATTCATAGATATGGAAACTTAAATTGCCCTGCATATTAGTCATATCATTTTTACCTAGGCTTCAGTTTTTTTTTTAATAATTTTTTTTTAGGCGGTTGACTATGCTGTGTGAACGTAGTCGAACACCTACAGAGCATAACAATGAAAGGTATCCACAAAATTCGTCTATTAGAAATGCAGTTTGTATTTTCATTTGGATAGTTTCAGAAGGAAGTATAAAACAAGATCCAGATTTTTTCTATCAGTTTTATTTTACTCACCACGATCTGTGTGTCTTCTTCGCTATCCTGGAATTCACGGTCTGACTCTGGAAGCTGAGAGAAAATTGACAATTGATAACATTAAGTTAGGGTATGGACAAAAACCATTTAATCTGTCAGCCAGTTTCACTAAGATTTTCCTCACCTGACAGAATAGTTGTTTAGAATACCGGTGATTTTCAACTAATTACACTATGAATTCTGACAACACTTCTTTTGAACTTGAGAAAGGAATATCTTCACTACTTCTCCAAATAAAGAGAGAAGCAAAAGAAAACAAGATGAACAGAGAAAACTGTCCTCATTGGAGGAAATGTCACCTTGCTGCGTCCTTTTGTCCCCAACGATGTATGAAAATGGGTGTACTGGAAGAAGAAGGATCACACTATCTACTTTCTCAAAGTTAAGATAAATAGTCCTTGCTGAAAATGCACCTTTTTAATTCATGAATGATATTCTGCAGTTGTGAGTTGGCCAAAGGAGGTGCACACCGTCTTCCTCATTTGTTTGATCTTTAATATGTTTGATCCTATGTTTGACCTTATGTATGTTTGATTTCGTTTTTATTGTTATTATTATATATGCATGATTTATTGAATGAAGAACAGATTTATAATTTGTGTGTTTATTATAAGTTTTGGTTAATAATTTTCAGTCGGACAATGGTGCGCTCAGAGACACCCGTATTAAGCGCCTAATAAATGTTGTGTATTATTATTATTATTATCCCAGCAACAAACAACATAAGATATGAGGGCAGCAACCATGCTACACGTCTAACGATCAAGGACCTCTAGAAGACAGACAGTGGGGTCTTTCACTGTAAAGTCGAGACTCTTGTCTTCATTGAGGAACGTGCCCAAATAATGCTATCTGTTACAGACCAAGAGGTAGGACTTTCTACCACTTATCTAGGTGTTCCCTTCAGAGCTTCTACGACAATACCACCACAACCTGCTGAAGATAATACAATCTTCTTAGACTTTTTATTATTTATGGAACGATCAGACACTGTTACTGATCCCACGCAAAACACCAAGGCAGCCGAACGCTTATTCTCTTATGCTGGACCATCCACCTGGAACACTCTACCACAACACCTCCACCTATGTAGTACAGAAGACACTTTCGAAAAGAAACTCTTTCCATCTTGAATCCATAATGTATGTTTTGAGTATCTGAATTTCATTTCGTTCATAATATCTTAATTACTGTTCCTTGTTTGATTGTTATGGTTTGTATGTTTCTTTTCTGTTGTAATAGCGCTCTGATCAGTTTGTCTATAATAGCGCTCAAAAAGAATCAATTATTATTATTATTATTATCATCATCACTGTGTGTCTTGTTTTCAAGTACAGGGAACGCGCCGAGAAGTACTTCTTCTCCGTTGGCCCCTGATTCTTCTCATCGTGAAACTAGAGTCAAGGAAGGTACACGCACTAATTTACTCAGCTCAGACACACACGGCAGAGATGATGAAGACGTGGCTGACAGACCAGAAGAAAGTTCAAATGCATCCCAGTCATTAAAAATCTGCAAGAGCGATGATGGAACAATCTGACAGCTCTTGAGACTGACATTGCCGATCTAGTGAATCCTAAAATAGATCTCAGCTTGCCCCCGAGACCGACTTGTCGCAACGGCCAATGAAAGGAAAATCAATGAGCTGAACATTGTTCACACCACATGATCAAATTGTTTAAACATTATTTGAAATCCCAATTCATGACGAATCCCATCAATTACCTCCACGTAATATGACAAGGAAACTCATCTAAAGACAAAAACTATTTAAATGTTTGCTTATTCACTATCTGCAAATCTAGAGAACAAGAAGTTTTGTGACTTACTTGAGTCTTTCACTTGAAACAGTATGTAAATAAGTGAACGCACGAGACTGGTCACATTATAGATTTTGTCATTATACGCATTGATGATGAAGAGCTGATTAGTGCTCTGGAAGTGTCATCATTTCTCACTGATCATGCTGCAATACACTGTAATTTGAAATTAAATAAGCCTACCGGTACTAGCCAACCAAGTGCTGAGACTTTTTCCTCTTCTCAATGCCGAATTACGACCGTCAACCTCGGCCAAGCTAGGTCAAAGTCATATTACTCAAGGTCATTCAAGGTGAATGACTGACAGGTCACCACAAGTTGGTATTTTCGCTACTCGATAGATAGGTCGTCAATTCGCAAAGCTATTTCCAGGACTGAGAAGACCTTCTGCATTGTTGATCTTCAACAAAATCAACGGATACGTCTCTTAACTGTTCATCATGGCGGTCACTCGCCGTCGCCATTGATCATCCTCGCGCTCAATGGTGCAATGCCTGTATTCTTTTTGCAATTAGTGATTATTTTGTAAATGTTACTGATCTGATGTGTCCTATTTGAGTTGCATTAGATTCAATACTAAAATATATTTCTGGAATCCTTTGGTACTATTATTCAGGGTTGTTAAGTAACCTTTACTAGATTAATCAGTTAATTCAATTGAGCTATCGCACGTGACAATCCATTCCATTCTTAGTAGACAAATTCAACCTATTAAGATAAAGATACAAGACCCCTGGTTTTCATTTCTTTTCTCCTTATTCATCATTTGTTTTCTTCTCTACGCCCTAATCCGTTTTAACCCTGTAAGGACACGTTCTTATTTTTTGTAGCTGTTTTCCCCCAATTTATGTTATTGTTGTTGTTGTAGATAGTATACTTTTAGTCTATTTTTATTTTTATATTGTGTAAATTATATTTTTGTGTGTGTTCATTTGTCTATTTTTATGAGTATACATGTATTGATTATTCTGATTGTATGTTTTACCATGGCTTGGAACCCTTTGAAAAACAGCTTATAGCTGACAAGGGCAATCATTCATCCCATGAGTGGAGAATAAATAAATAAAATAAAAAACAGACAAACTTACAGACAGACAAAGAAAGACAGAAAGAGAAAGGGGAGTAAGAAACACAGAAAAAAGGATTCTCTCAGAGTGGGGAACCATGCTCACTTCTTGCATTGTTTTCATTTCAAACATAGATAGTGAAAAGCAGATATAAAGAGATACATAGACAAATAAAAATTAGGCATTTCAAGTATTTGAACAAACTTACCTTAAGATGTTTAGACTTGTGGAAGAGAGTGACGATTCTTGCGCTACCAAAGTGATTGAGTGAGATCCAGATCAATGGTAGGCACAGAGGCAGCAATGGCAAGACTGTGTGAACCTAAAATCAGAAACAAATTTTGATTCATTTTGATTTGAAGATAAATATATCACTTGTTGTATTGCTAGACATTTGTATGAAACTAATTTTATCTTTATTAATGTACCAAATCATGTCACTGTAACGGTTGAGTAAGTAGAACTGATTAAAAAAGGAGTTTGTGGCCATAGATTAAAGACTTAATATGAATTTACTTACAGCTGGGCAAAAAGATACACAGTGAGTTCAATATTGCATGCCATACTATAAAACAAGAAACTTTCAAACATGAAAATTCCATGAATTGTTAAGGATCCCAAGGAATATTCAGGAATTGCAAAAATGTGTCAAATGTGATTCAATTATTTTACAGAATGAAACTTGTGTGGAGCTGAACCACTCACAATTCTGATTTTACAGTAAGGGTGGGGGGGGGGGGGGGTTAAATGTACAAAATAATGTAAGCTAACAAATCGGTCGGACAATACAGTCAAAGTGGTAGGTGATGAATTGTCCTTTTAAAATGAAGATGTCAGAGATCTAAACAATGATATCAGATGAGATTAAAATAAACTAGCTTACCGGTATAGCAACGAAGACCTGTGCCCAGTGTCCCATGTCCGACTCAACGACCAGATATCGGATCATATTGATGACAAAAGAAATGATCTGTAGGTGTTACATAAGAACAACATGATTGACATTAGAACCTGTGAAGATCATATAATCAATAAATGCAACATGATCTATTGACTCTTGAATAGTATTTGTAATTATAAAATGCAAGCTTTTTTCAGAGTTTTTAGTTGAAGACAAGACGCTTGTGGAAAATAATACCATCACTGTGGGGATGTACCTAGGCCAGAGTACAAAAAGCAAGATATACAATATGACTCCTTTAAAGACATCGTTTAACAATGTTAAATCTGAAATGCATGGCCCTACCTGTTATCAGTGTCTGTGATATTGTGTAATATTGAAGCCCTAACAAAATTGCGCTTCAAATTGATCATGAAGTGCCTCAAAAAAGTAAAAAATCTTTGAGTGACTGGTTTTACCATACTCATTTACCCCACTCGACTGTAGTGTTATAAAAACCATTAGGAAAAAGAAAAATGACATTCTGATTTCCGATCATAAATATCTTGATAATTAGACAGGCTTGTAAAAGTCATGGAATTCCTGACTGACCGAAAAGTTTATGATTGCAGCATGAGCTAAATCCAGGATTTTGTTTCAGAATCTGAGGCAATGTTACTGAGTCACTTTAAGTTATAATAATCATAATAAATATGATGTTCATAAATAATAGAATTAGAAATGACTCTCACCAGTGCAGCTGGGGTGAGCCATCGTTCAAACATAGCGGTGCAGATGATTCTTTTGTTATCAAATGAAGAGAGGGGCTTCTTCTGGGCTCCTTTCAAACAGGTCCTAAGAAATAAAAATCAAATACATGACGAGAAGGTATAAATGAGATGAGAATGAGCAAAAGCTTGTTCAGCTATGATGCTGTAAACTGCCACAAATAAGCCACCATGGGTTTTTAAAAGTAAATGATGGCAACTGCACTCAACAAAGGTCTTTAGTATTAGTATTAAGTGAGCTCTGTGTTAAAAGATACAAAAACATGAAGCATACTACATTTTTCATATTCATTCAAAAATTGCGCCAGTTTTGCCATGTCATATCTGACCGAGTCTTCAGGCATTTATTATCCCATTGAAATAGTATTCAACTCATTTTAAAATAACCAATTTGTGTTGGTAGGGGGCACTGATGTTGATGTTGATTTCACCTGACTTATAAAAATCATGTATAAGCTCATAGATAAGCAAAAGTGGACCTAAAGCTTTATGTCGTACTTGGGTCTTCATGATTGAGAATGAATGCCTTACGAAAGGGCACCATGGCATCTCATAGTATATCGATAAAGGGCTTAGATACATCGTAGATGTATTAAGTGCTATATAAAAGCGGAATATTATTATTATTATTGGTTTTAAACAGGGAACCTCTCAGCTACCAGACCAATGCTCTACCACTGAGCTATCATCCCTTTTTCGATGTATATTTCTGTGTATTACCTGAGATGTAGAATGTATGGCATGTCCATTAGTTGGAACATGTTGAGTTGGAGTCATTTCAAGCATTAAACCATTATTAAGGGCACTATTGTATCAACCTTGGTTTTGAACCCAGTACCTCCCAGCTCCCAGATCAATGCTCTACCACTGAGCCATCATCCCCTTTCAATGTTTCTCTACGTGTCTTACCTGAGATGTGGAATATAGGGGGTGTCCATGACTTGGAATTTGGCAGGCTGGAGTGGATGTCGTGCTGTGGGTTCTGATTTAGGCTCTGGAATGATTGGATTATATGCCTCCCCAGCGTGTAACTCCAGATCACTCTCTTCCTACAAGGGAATGCATAAGATTGATTCACTTTAGTTAAAAATAATAAACTGACATGTATAATAATGACCATCAATGTTATTACGATCAATGTGAATTATCGAACAAATACTCCCTTTTGTATACAGCTAACAAGTACATAGAAACCTACAAGTACATACAAGGAGGAAATTTCGCATTTCTACTTAAACTCTTTCCTACATTCTTCCCATTGAGTGGTATCTAAAAACAGGTTTGATCGCATAAATGCATCATATCTGTGAGTATTGCTCATAGTTTTGTACAATATACAGAAATCAATCTGCATAAATCTTTGATAACTTAACTATATAGAGCAATCATTTCATCATTATCATGTAAAGCACTTGAAGGACACATTCTGGGTTGAATTACACATCATCAAGATATATTATTCAAAGGTGTGCCACTTTGTATTACCCAATTAGCCTGAAAAACAATTTTTTTTTTTTTTTTTTTTTTGGGGGGGGGGGGGGGGGGGGGGGGGGAGGGGGGTTCAAACTTATACAATAACAAAACCTGAGCCTGAGACATAGAGGTAACATGTTCTGAAGGGGGACAAATACAGTCAAACCTGCTTTAGTGACCACCTATCTACAAAGACCACCTGTCTACAAGGACCACATTTTTTATTTCCCTTGAAAATGGTTTCTCATTGAAACATGTACTAAAGGAACCTGTCTACAAAGACCACTTTTTGTGTTTCCCTTGGGCGGTCGCTGTAGATAGGTTTGACTGTATCAGAAAGCTAGCACCTATCTACTATTATCCTCATTCCAATGAAGATGAACTCACTGATAAAATTCTTATGTTGGTTGGCGCTATCTTTCCAGGTCTCATCAGGATGATATCATCGGTGACCAGCAGTGTCCAGGGAAGATTGACCAGCTGACCATCCCTCAATGTCCACTGTAGCATGATGGAGTTGGTATGAGGGCTGAAGAGAGGCACGTAATCGTCCGGTGTCCAGGTCACCTCCTGGGACACCATTCCTGCAGAAAGAAAAGAACAAATCAACAATGCTGATATACTAATTACAGCGAAACCTGTCTATACAGACCACCGAAGGCAGACAAGAAAAGTCTTTGAAGACAGGTTCCTTTAGTACATGTTTCAATGAGACACCATTTTCAAGGGAAACAAAAACGTGGTCTTTGTAGACAGCTCCGGTAACTTTCCTTGTGCATTTTTAATATTAAGTTTAAAACTTCATGACGTAATTAAGAACATGATTTGGGGAAAATAATGTTAATAATATAATGTGTAAAATTTCATGACATAATTAAGAACATGATTTTGGAAGAATAAAATGTCTGTAGGATAATTTTGAAATATTATAGTGATTGGATCAGAGATGTGTGGAAAAATTGTTGCAATCAACCTCCGAGATACGAGAAGATACCATCAAATAGATGTTGATTGGAATGCATTCACTTCATCTACACACATAAACAAGTACATGAAAAAGTATTTCTGAAATAAAGACAAGTCTGACAACATGTTAATTGAAAAGACTAAAGATACTAAAACAAGAGAAAGTTGTAAAAGATAGACTACCTTACCTTCTAAATGTTTGATTAAATCCTTTGTCCTATCCACCATCTCACGATGCTGAAGCCTGCAGTCCCAACCAGACAGGTAAACATTAAAGAGGAGAAACATAAAGAGGACTGCGCTCTCAACCAGCAGACTTGGATCCCAGCTAAAGATGCTCGAGAACAGTAACAGGACGATGGCAATCATTATGGCCACACCACTGGTCCAGTGGAAAGCGGCCCTTGGGTCGAGCCTCCATCCGGACTGGTGGCCCAGGGCCGACATGCAGCTTTGCTTCTTCCATGTAAAATCTTCATAGATCTGCAGCTCCTTTGTGATGTCCGACTTCAATTTCTCTAGGGCCTTATGGGTATCTAGCCCAGTGTACTCTGGCGAAGTCATCTGTGACAAAATAAAATGAAAATGAGTGCAGATTATCATAGTAATATTCTAATGAAATAGCGAAAGTTTCATACAAATTGGAAGAATAATCAGAAAGTAATGGAATCTTAAAGGTTCTCATAACATTGATATGTATCACATAGGCTGTAAGCAAATCTGTGTGAGTTGATGACTTCTATACTACCGGTAGTCATCCGATTTTCATGAAACCTTTAATGTTTTGTTTGTTTAATTTTTCTCTATTTATTCAATTCAACTTGGAAATGGGCCAGACTTGCCCTTAACAGTTTAAGTTCGTTGCTTTGATTGACATGCAAACATAACATCACAAAAGTCTGTCCTATGCTAAAGTGCTATGAAACATAATTCCTACACACATGCATCTGTGAGTTATTTGACCCAGCACAAATACTATAGGTCCATGAAAAAAACTTTTCCCCCCCCCCTTAATTTGCATAATTTGTAAATCAGCTTTAACTAAGTTTAAAACTTTAGGCTTTTCTTCTTTCCTGTAACTGTTAATAAATTAGTCTTCAACCAGTACGTAGCTTGAGTAGGCCGTAGCGTAGGGGCGCTAATATCCTCTTCCCCAAATGTTCGTAATATTGGAATTTTGGGGAATCACAAAAGGTATTAAAATGTGCATCATGTTCTCTATCTATTGATCTATTGAATATTATTGCTAAAACCAACAGCAAGAGCATGTCGCGCCGTGACCGGTCCTTTGGCGCCGGAGCGGAGCTCGGCCTCGGGTCGCGGGTTGAAAATTTAGGGAAGAATAGGAAGAAAACATAACACACATTTCTACACCTCGGACTGAACAAAGGATCATAACACAAAATGTTTCATTTACCATTGCATTGCTATTTGAAGTTCTCACTTTGATGCAGTCATTATTTACAATAAACAGGTAGTATCCAGCCGATTATGTGGTTCAGTTGCAGCATCTGATAGTTTTAAATAAATAGACAAAGATTGTTAAAGAGATGATTTTCCACTTTTTGGGGCACAAAATGATCGAAGGAAACGAAAATTATTCGCCCCGTTAATATGGTGAACTTGACAAGACAAATTATTGAGGAATATATTAAAGTTGCAAGAAGACGTATGGCCTATAAGCAAAGTTGTTTGTTTCTTGTTCTCAAAAGAACTGAGCACACACAAATAATTATTTTCAAACTTCTGTCTTGAACACTATCATTTGATTTACGAGAAGTGCTTCCCTTTTTTTTTTTTAGAAATCTTTGATACTGCTAAAGAGTGAAATAGTAATTTTTTTTTAAAAACCTTCTAATGGTCTAGGCTGAAGGTTTGACAAGGGGAATATATAAAATTGGAATCTTCAAATATATTGAAGTTCTCGTTTTGTATATAATGCTTCATACAGAGTTTAATGGATAATGTTCCACATTGGTCCCATAGGTAAGCATCAAGTCCCATCCTGCCCCAGCTTTAACTTCCTACTCACCTTCCCTCAGTATTTGGATAAACTATCGTCTCTACACCTCCCCTTCAGGTTCGTTTGTTTTCTAGTTTGTTTGGCTTTTTTTTTGTACAGTAAATCAGACGTGGCTCTCTATTTTTTTTAATGAAAAATATACATATAAAACAAGCTCTCGACAGTGGGAGATCCATTGACATAACTCCTGACCTATAGTAGCGGCCCGAGGAGTTTAGGGCTCAAGCCTTCCCCTTCTTTATCCTCTGCCCCCTCCCCCTAAAAAAACTTAATTAAGCATAATTATGTAGACAGTGAATGCAAAAGAAATCAAACAAAGCCCTCCAGCCCCCCCCCCCCCCCCCCGACCCCCAGTATTCCTCTAGAACCATTTTCCCGCACCTATATGGGCATCCCTGGTTCTATAAATTTCAAGTTGTTTTGATTTAATATCCTCTTCGTCAAAAGTTTAGGCCTACTGCTTGTGTATTGGCATTAAGAATGGTATTTTAAAGTATAGATATACAATCTTCGCATGTTACCCATTCATGTTTTTCATTATTACGTTCAATAGCTTGTTCATCTTGTTATCTCCTACAATTTCAAAATCGCTTGCCATGTATTATAAGTATATATCGCCCTCTATCTACAAAGAATTGTTACCAGAACTTTGTTCCCGTGTGTTGTGATTATGAGCATGGACTTGATAATATCTAGTTATGTGCGATCAACTGTAGTCCATTTGGATCATATTAATTAACATTCATTCATTCATTCAGGCGCGGATCCAGGATTTCTTAGGGGGGGGGGCCCAAATTTGAAATTATGCGAGCCAAATATTGGTACGTTATGGTGACCAACAGTGACGTAATGCGGGGGGGGCGAGTTTCCCCCTCCCAGGCTTTGACGTTTCATTATATTATTAGAGAAAGAAGACGACTCGTTGTACCGTTCTCGAAAATAATTCTCGTCTGAATTTAGTTTTTCTCCTCCCGCGCGAAGCGCGGAAAATTTTACGATTTATTAGATTATTAGAGAAAGAAGACGATTCGTTGTACAGTTCTCGACTCTTAATCCTTGTCTAAATTCAGCCCCCCTCCCCCTCCTGCGCGAAGCGCGGAAGCTTTGACGTTTTATTAAACTATTAAAGGAAGAAGACGATTCGTTGTACCGTTCTCGAAAATAATTCTCGTTTGAATTTAGTTTTTCCCTCCCGCGCGAAGCGCGGAAAATTTTACGATTTATTAAATTATTAGAGAAAGAAGACGATTCGTTGTACAGTTCTCGACTCTTAATCCTTGTCTAAATTCAGTCCCCCCCCTCCCCCTCCTGCGCGAAGCGCGGAAGCTTTGACGTTTTATTAAACTATTAAAGAAAGAAGACGATTCGTTGTACCGTTCTCGACCCTTTATCCTCGTCTGATTTCAGCTCCCCCCCTCCCGTGCGAAGCGCGGAAGCTTTTACGTTTCGTTAAATCATTAGATAAAGAAGACGATTCGTTGTACTGTTCTCGACTCCTAATCCTTGTCTAAATTCAGCCCCCCTCCCCTCCTGCGCGAAGCGCGGAAGCTTTGACGTTTTATTAAACTATTAAAGAAAGAAGACGATTCGTTGTACCGTTCTCGACCCTTTATCCTCGTCTGATTTCAGTTCCCCCCGCCCCCTCCCGCGCGAAGCGCGGAAGCTTTTAATCTTCATTTAATCATTAAAGAAGAAGACGATTCGTTGTACAGTTCTCGACTCTTAATCCTTGTCTAAATTCAGTTCCTCCCCCTCCCCCTCCTGCGCGAAGCGCGGAAGCTTTGACGTTTTTATTAAACTATTAAAGAAAGAAGACGATTCGTTGTACCGTTCTCGACCCTTTATCCTCGTCTGATTTCAGTTCCCCCCTCCCGTGCGAAGCGCGGAAGCTTTTACGTTTCATTAAATCATTAGATAAAGAAGACGATTCGTTGTACTGTTCTCGACTCCTAATCCTTGTCTAAATTCAGCCCCCCCCCCCCCCTCCCCTCCTGCGCGAAGCGCGGAAGCTGTTAATCCTCATTTAATCATTAGAGAAGAAGACGATTCGTTGTACAGTTCTCGACTCTTAATCCTCGTCTGAATTCAGTTCCCCCTCCATCCCGCGCGAAGCGCATAAGCTTTTACGTTTCATCAAATAATTAAAGATTCGTATTACCGTTCTCGCCTCTGAATCCTCGTCTCAATTCAGTCCCCCCCCCCCCCCCCCTCCTCCCCTCCTGCGCGAGGCTTTGACGTTTTATTATTAGAGAAAGAAAACGATGCGTTGTACCGTTCTTTATACTCTTTAATCCTTGTCTGAATTTCAAAGAGGTGGGGTCGAGGCGGCGGAGCCGGCCCCGGAAGCTCAGGGGTTTTAGGGGTTTAATTAAGGTCAGATGAGCATATTTTTGTGTATACCTTATTATTTTGTGACACTGGCAAGTCACTATTTGGCGTGGGGTCCAGGGGGCGGAGCCCCAAAAAATCAGGGGTTTTAGGCATTAAATTACCGTCAGATGATCATCTAAGGGCCCGCCGTAGGGCCCTAGATTGAATCCAGGGGGCAAAGCCCCCGGAAGCTTAGGGGTTTTAGGCATTTAATCACGGTCAGATGAGCATATTTTGATGCCTCGAGGCTCTCGATCCCCGCCGTACCTCGGGCCCTGACATGTAGGAATCTCAAGAATCATATTTTTTGCCTGGTTGTAAATTTAGGAATTTTTTTATTTTCCAACAAACACATACAAACGTATAATTTACTAAAAAGTGAGGAGAAATTTCGGAAATTATGTCATTTCAGCATTATTTGTAATACACCGTTGTGGAATCAGAAATAAACCACGTTTGAATTTGATTTCCCCCAAGCCCCCCCCCCCCCGTCTATCAGTACGCCAGTATCTCCTTTTCCCTTTTTTTTCCCCTTTCCTTCCCTCTCTCTTATTTTTTTTTATTGGGGGGGGGGGTAACAGGAGGCAAGGCCCTTTCGGCCCCCGATCTCCTTCTTCCCCCTTTACTTTTCTTCTTCCTCATCTTTCTTTCCCTTTTTCTCCTTTTTCCCTTTCTCCCTTCTTTTCCTTCTTCTCTCTTTTTTTTTTTTTTTTTTTTTTTTTTGCGGGGGGGGGGGGCCAAGGCCCGCTCGGCCCCCCCCTGGATCCGCGCCTGCATTCATTCAAGACTTTATTCCAGACTCAGCTGCAAGAGCAGAGGTTCATATAACATTTTTACATGTAGATATATTCCATGAACAAGAATAAGAGGGGATCATATTATTAAAGACTGACATATAAACATGTATATATAAACAATGAACAAAAATAAAAGGGGAACACATATGGATATACGAGAAACAAAACTAAACTACTTTAAACAACCTTTGCCGACTGTGACACGGGCTGTGACAGTTACTGAACCAGAACTTTCACAAGTCTGAGGTGAACCTTGTACTGCTATAATTGGTTAACCAAATTATATGTTCGGTCATCTCGTTGCAAAGAATCATCCCGACTACAATTGAAAAATGCTTTTCGATTGGGGACATGTGCCCCGTGCCCCCCCCCCCCAGTAGCTACGCCACTGCCTATATAATATGGGACGACAGGTTCACAGTTTAATACTTTTTCTCGTCATATTTTTGACATATCTATTTAAATACCTTCATAAATTATTGTTGATGTGACATTGCCACTGTAACATGTCTTTATTTTAAAAGTTCAATACAATTGGCAAAGTTGACGAACTATTTTTCACTTTTACCAAATCACAATCTTCTCTTTAAAATTGTTATTAAGCCACAGTTATTGTACTCGCAACCACGTCACAACCCAATCACTACTCTCTTGATTGTTCTTTGATAAAGCACGCGCGCAATTTTGAAGTGCACCATTATTGATATTAATCTTTGGCATGCGTCCAGGCCAAAAATGATAGATTATTACAGTTTCATGTTTGCACTGACATGCATGCATGATTACATGTATACCTTTATAATATTTCAAAGCTACCAATATATTATTGCTGTTTCCTCCCCTTTTGTAAAAATACGAATTGAAAAACAGAAAGCATCGAATTTTGTACAATACGTGTTGTCGCAGTTTATAAATCAAATTCATGCTACATAATATTATCGATGTCCTCTTTTTATATTTTCTTCGTTTCTTCTCTTTACATGATCGATTTCGTTAAACATCATTATGCTCAAGCAATTGCCGAATCAATTGCGCTATATAAATCATCAATATTAAAAAAAAAAGTTACATGGTTTAAAGTGAAGTAACTGAACTGTGATGACTATGATGAATATGCAAGCATTCAGATATTACTTGTTTGCTTATTTTGGGAGTATGATTAGCAGAATTATCGAGAAAATCATTTCGATCCAATCACTGCGTTCTGGTTTTCTCAAATAAAAGGCGGCCTTCAACGACGCCAGGTGTGTCTTCTAGTTAACGATCAGCTATGACAAGCCCGAGTTATCCAACAACTCAATTGTAGCATACCGAGCTTTTATAATTTTTGATACAAGAGGAGAGAGATTGTAAAGAATAAGAGGCGATGGTCGAATTCCACCATTCATCATACATGCATGACGTTCAGCGTGTGCCG